CTGAAAGTTCGACCACTATAAGAAGGCTGCTTTTGGAAAGGACTCCTGAACCCTGAATTAGATCACATTATATGATATGTGAACTAAATCTTATGATCCAGTATGTTGCAATTATGATATGGCTTCAGGGTTAATCTAAGCTTGCCTTCTTGTGCCCCGGTTTTTTGTTTCAGGTTAGTTCCATGCATTGATTATCTGTTCCATATCCATAAGATTTTGTGCCAAAATAGACAATCCATCTGCGTTACTGATACCTTTGCAACATTTGCATCCCTATGTGGTAATAATATTAACTGAGATTATTAAATTTTAAAGGAGGAGGAGGAGTGACCTCCTCATTGCTCTCTAAAGAGGGGAAAAGTGGAAAGGGAAGTGCTGAACTCTGCTTCCTGGGATGCAATGACAGGACATATGGGAATGGTCCAAAGCTGCATCAGGGGAGGTTCAGACAAGACATGAAGCATTTCTTTACTGTGAGGGTGGTCAGACACTGGAACAGGCTTCCTTGAGAGATTATCAATGTCCCAAGCTTGTTAGTGTTTAAGGGGCATTTGACAGCCTCTAACTGTTGATCAGCCCTGAAATAGACCATTTCAGTGGTGGTCACTGTGGGTCCCTTTGAACTGAAAGGGCTGTTTGAAATAGTCTGTTTATTCATCTTTTAGCAAAGCACATAGGATTTCTCTGTTCTCAGTGTATCACAGGGATGATAAAACTAGTAACTCCTCAGTTGGTTGTTACACATATTTTTGGTTTTTTTATTGCTTGTTTGCATTATTTAAGGCTTGAAGAGTTTCACTGGAGCTGTAGTAACTTTGTTTATAGTTTCTACCTCTACAGAAGTATTCCTGTGAGTTTCTTATTAGATATTGAGCTGTGTAAAACTATACACTGCTTTTTCAATGTGTTTAGATCCTTGCTCATTTCACATATTTGAAAACACTGAAATATGTCAGAAACATTTAAAATAAACTCATGTCATCCTTGTGTCTAGTGAGATCTAACTTTATATTCAAACATGTAACTGCACATTCTCTGTCACTTCCAAGTTTTCTGATATTCTTTCTCTACTGCTGCCTTCTGTGAATTTGTATTTATCTTCCTTGTCTAGTGCCAGGGCTTGTGATCTTCAGTTCCAAATGCAGCACTCCCTTTGCAGTCTGCAAAATTAGTTAATACTATTAACAAAAATAATAAACTTGGTGTGGGTGAAGCACTGTTGCTTTCCTCTACTTTTGGTCTAGGCTTTCATGATTCTGTGTGGAAACAAAATCACAATTCTCTCAACTCCTCTTCCTGTTGACACACTGAATTAATTTGGTCTTATTAGTACACTGAATGTAGCAGATTGGTTTACTTTTGGAGATTTTAATTGCCTCTGTCCTTACAATTTACTAGCAGACCATTCCCTCCTTGTAACATTAATCTCTCCCCTTCCCTGTCACATCCAGTCTTTTCCTCAGAAGAAACTTACAGTTGTGTTTTTGTGTTCCACTGGTTAGGAATGATCTCTGGAGGCCAGTAGGTCCGAGTCAAAGCCAAGCCAGTTTTGATGTTATATCAGATTGTTCAGGTTCTTGTGCAGTTGAATTTTGAGAATTTCCAAAGATAGCGTTTTTCAGCTCCACTTGACAGTCTGCACCTTTCCCCAGTTCTTACTATTCTTTTCCTACAAAAGAGGATTTCCAGTATTTCATCTTGTCTGGTGACTCTTGTCCTTTCACTTGTACCCCTTAGACATAAAACCTCATGACAACTTCCATTGAGACCAATCATCCCTAATCTGAACTATTCCTGTTCTCTCAACTTCTCTTGAGCATCATGTGAGCGTCTTGGTGTCTTCATGAAGCTAGGAAATTTTTAGTATTTTTTGTGCACTGAGGACCCCAAAGTTAGTCATAGTATTCTACATATGGTTTCGCAAATGACAGATAGGGGAGGAAATCTACTTCCCTCAACCTACGGGCTGTGCGTTTACCAATGCATACTTGCACAGTCAGTGCAAAGGCTGGCTCCTCATTCCTCTCTGCTTGGCTTGTTGTCCACCAGGGCTGTCAGGTCTTTCTCATGGTGCCTTCTAGGTGGTGAGTGCATCCTATTCTGTTTTGTGGTGCTGTTTCATCCCAGCTACAGGACTCTGCACTTGCTGTTGTTGAACTGTGAGCTTCCTGTCAACTCGTTACTCATGCTGTCTGGGTCACTCATAGAAGCCATCCTACCCTCCAGTGTGTCAGCTTTGAACTTAAAACCACTGGCTATGACTCCAGCAGCTTTTCCACTTGTCTTGTAATTCCTCTGTGCAGTCCATGTCAGCATGGTTTGGCTATAAAGATACTTTGAGATGTTGTGTTGTAAGTCATGCTATAGTCAAGGAAATATACTGCTTTCTCTTTGTCCATCAAGACAGACATGTCATTATTGAATGAAATCAGGTTAGTCAAACACACTTTGTCCTTTCTAGATCCATTCTGGCTGTTCTTATCCTTTCACATACATCATGTGCTTGGAAGTGGATTTCTGAAGGATTTTTCTCCATGATCATCTTGGGCAGTGTGGTCAGGCTGCTGTTCCATCTTGTAGCCTCCTTGTTGTCCCTTTAGAATAGAGATGTGGCATTTGTGCTTTACCAGTCATCACCTTCCCAAGTTGCCATGATCTTTCAAAGGTGATAAGAGAACAGCCTTGTAATGGTCTTGACTGGTATTTTCAGCCCACCTGGATGCATCCTGTATTGTCTCAAGATGGGACATATGCCAAGTTTGCTTCACTGGAGCTGGGAGGCCTCTGAGCAGGGCTTGAGAGTGAAATGAAGCAAAAAAGGCATAGACTGCCTTGATCTTTTCGATGTCCCTGGTACTAGATCACCTCCCTCACTGAGAGCAGTGGAACCATATTTGCCTCAGTCTTTCTTTTATGGCCAATGTATTTATAGAGTGTCTTGTATCCCTTCATAATCCAGGCTAGTTTCAGTTCCAGCTGAGCTTGGCTTTCCTAATTCTATCTTTTTTGGTTTAGGAGGTTCCTGCTGGGTAACCCAACTCAGCTTCCATGTTCCAAACGTTTACCTTTTGTGGTGAGTTGAGGCAGAGGTTGCCCATTTAGGCAGACTGGCTCCTTGCCATTCCTGCTCGATTTCTAACTAGAACAGCTTGATAGCTAACTAGAACAGACTGTTCTTGTGCTATGAACATGTCATCTTTGAAGATCAGCCCACTCCTCTGCCCTTCACAGCAGCTTTTTGCAGGATCCTGCCAGTGAGTTTTCCAAACGAGCCATAGTTTGTTCTCCTCAAGTCCAAGGTCTGCTATTTTCCTTCTTCAGGTCTGTTCGAGTCTTAAATTCCACCATTTTACCATTGCTTCTGCCAAGTCTGCCACAGACTTTGTCTTCCTGAATCAGTTCATTCTTGTCTGTGAGTAATAAATCAGCATGCCTCCTTGTCCACTTCTATTGCACTCTTAGTTAGACATAAGGGTCCCTGCTACTGAAATCCCTGTGTTGTGTTGTACGACACACACAGATACTGATACAATCCGTAACTGAAAAACAGGTACCTCTTCTTATGGCTAATTTTTGTACTTTAACACCTTTTGATTTCAGAGGACTCTATGCAGAAGGAGAGCTCTGTCCAGCATCAGTTAGGTGGTTGTTTTGAGGGCTGATAGGACTCAGTAAAATGCCTTATTGGCTTATTGCTTGTTTGGAAGAAGTGTTCCTGATGGTCAGGCGTCTCTTGGATTCCTTGTAACCTGCCAAGTTGCTCTTCATGAATATGTAGGAATGGTTAAGCTATTTACTAGATGCTCTTATCATTAACTCCTTTAGACCATGTCATCTTTAATGCTGGATTAACTGTATTTCTGATACTTTTCTCCCCTGTATTCAGATCTGACATCCTCTTTAATGCCTTTCTAGGGATAAAATTCCATGGTATTTGGCCCTATATAGGGATCTTGCAGTATAAACCTCTACCCCTCTCTGAATATAAGCATCCACAGCTTTTCATACAATTTTATGCTCTTCCCTGGTAGAGTTCTTGCTCCAGCCACCCGTTTTGCTTTGTTTTGTTCTTTCTCTAAGTGTGTGTAGGAGCTTGTAATGCCTCAGATTACCTCCAATATTATGGATTCCATTATCTTTTGTCCTTGTAAAAAGAATAGATTTAAAAAATGCATTTAGCTGGGAATGCATTCGTAGCATGGCTCATTTACAAAAGTCTAGGACCTTGTGTATTTTTAGAACTTGTCAGAGATCAGAATTTCACTGTTTTCCCTTGTACAGATTCTCACAACTGCCAATAAGACACACACTGACAGACAGTGCTTATCTGCAGAATTCTGAACAGAGCATTGTAGACATCATTTTAAGAAGTGTAGAAGTACACATGTGAGCACCCAAAAAGCACTCTGAGATGGCCAGCAGTTACATACACATATGTGTAAACTTGAATCAATGTTTTGTATGGAATGGGTGAGTGGATGAGCCAGATCTTTGTGTGATCTGCAGTTGTACATGAAGGTTACCGAGCCACATTCCTTGCCTTGTGAGAGCTGTTGAACCCTCCAGGTGTGTAGGAGCAGGTTGCACCTGCAGTGCTTTTTGTGTATCATGTAATCCACCTTGACATTATCAGTGAAGTGTCAGTGGATCCTGGGAGTGCAGCAGGTAGCAAGGAATGGTTGAAAATTCCAGATAGGCATCTCTGGCTCTCTTCATTACCAGAGTCTTCCCATAAGCTTGTGAGTGATTATTAGAGGTGTGAAGTGAGAGTCAGCAAATTATGAACTATATTTCAGTGGTTACAGCTAAAGCTAGATAGTTTATGGTTTCCAAAGAATAATGAAAGGAAATATTAATAGTGACTACAGATTTCAAGAATTACCAAGAAGGCTCTAAACATTTGAATAAAAATAGCTTTGTTTTACTCTAAATAAATGAATAGCTAAAATTGTATTCTGTTAATGCATACATTACCGCAACTTCTGTTTGATTTGTTTTAGATGAAAAGATTGTGGAAAAAATCCGAGCTTTACAGATGAAAGCTGAAGACTATGATGTTGTTAAGGTGATTGGAAGAGGGGCTTTTGGAGAAGTGCAGCTGGTAAGAATGTAATGATTTAATGTTTACACAGATTGACAACTTTAGCTAAAACCTTCTTCAGTCTTCATGTTTTATATTTAAAAATTCTTCTTAAAAAGAGTAAGTGTAATTTTCATTGTATTGAGAGATTGTTTCTGTGCATAGTAAACAGTAAATCTGAGTTTAAAATATGATGGATAGGAAGGGAAGACCTCAGGAATGTTTTCTATCCTTTGATCAAAATCAAAAAGGCAGTTCATGGCAATTGTAAATCTTTTTGTCCACAAGTATCACTGTATAATAATGTCTGAAACCTTCTACAAAAGAGAAGGTGAACACTGCGACAAAAGATTTTTGTTTTGTATTTTAAATGACATGACTCACAGGATTTTTAAAAGATTCCTTCCATAACATTGTCCCCTTGACGTTGCATGCAATATAATATCTAAAGTATGAATGGGATTACTTTTAAAATTTCTATTGCAGAGAAATTATGTTATTAAAAAAAGGTAATCAAACTACAAAAAATAACTTGGTGTATCACATATAGTCTGATTTTCATTTAATTCTGATTTTTCCAGGACTTGGAAGTCCTACTGTCTGATAAGTGGCACAAAAATGTAAACATATGTATGAGATGGATTGGTATGTCAGTTTTGAAATAAGCATTGGATGCAAGTGCCAGATAGAATCTAGAATGCAAACATTAGGGACAAGTTACCGTGAGCTAGCAGGTAACTGTGCACCAGCTGATCTAGGGTGATTTTCTGGGTGAGTATTTTTAGAGGAAGAGAGATGTGAAGCAAGTCAATGGAAAGGGGAGTAAGTAATTTGCTACAATTGAAGCTTGTTATCTTATTACCACAAGGTAACAAAAATTATCCTTTTGCTTGTACTTGTTAACCTGGAAATGGCATTTTACTACTCTGTGGTAATTTTGCACTAGGAAGCTGGGAAAATCATATTGTCTTGTAATGTATAACCATTTTGGCAAATATAAAGATGTGTTGGAGTTTTGTCAAGGAATGTGGTAAGATCTAAGCTGTGAAGGGCTTATAGGAGACACAGTGTATAATAGCAATAAATTTATGATGCATTTATAAAATTATTTGTAATTTACATATTAGTGTTGCTGAAATTTGTTGAAACTGGAAAAAAAACCTCTGACTAGCCTAATGTTATTTTCATGACTCATGGGTAATTTGCAAATTTAGGTGTGATTAGTATGACAGATAGCAATATCTAATCAGCATTTTTTATTAATCAGTGTCACTTTTTAGGACAACTTCATCCAAGTCTAGTAACATGAGAATGTAGCACCCTCTTCCCTTTCTTTCTATCAGGGTCATGTTCACTTTGTTTTTCTCCAGAAGAGTGAGTGAACTATAAAGTGGAGTATTTCCAAAAATCCTCATTTTCTAGCAAGACTTTAAAGAATTATTATGTATATTTATTTCCTTGTATGATTTTATATCTTTGTAGGCAAGAAATTAAAAACAAAACCTTCAGCACAACCTTACTTTCTTGTGAAGAGGCTGTTGCAGGATTTTTGTAAGAAAGCAGTCTACTCCATGTCTTTTCAATGACAGTCACATCAAATGGTTTATTTTAAAGTCTTCTATTAGACATTTGTATCTTTATATTAATCCACACAGAGCAGTCAGTGAAAAATCAAGTTGTAAATAGCAGAGTTCCTTGTCCATTTCTTGAGGGGGTCAGAGATGAAAAAGTGCAAGTCCCAATAACAGAAGTCATGTGCCATTTTTAGATATCACACTCATTTCCTGGAAGCATCCAAGAGACCTGTATATTTGATGTACTTTCAAAAATGAAAATACATTGTCTTCATATGTGTATTTCTTAAGAACAGAAGGGTTTCTCTAAATTATTTTTATTTTCTTTTTAACATTTAATTTCAAGTAGAAGGTCTTGATTTGTTCTTGAAACTCTTTATCTTAATTCATCATGTCATACACAGTTTACATTTTTAAGCAGAGATGTTTTTTCATAGTGTGCATACTGCACTTGGGCACTTAGATGGATCTGAAGACAAACTTTTATTTTTCATTTGCCTGACCATTAAAATGTCATGATAAAATGCCTAGTAACCTGGTCATACAATGATGGGGTTTGGGTTGCGTTGTTGTCATGGGTTGTTTATTTGTTTTTCTTTAATCTTTAATAAGCCCTTCAAAAAAAGCAAGAATCCTTGGAAAGAAACTTCTGTGTCTTCATATAAAGCTCTTCTGTACTCCATGTCAATTTAAAAGAACACTTTTTCTGTAGAGTAAAAATACAAGCAGAAATCATAATGTTACTCAGTCTTACAGCTGAAAAGCAGTGGGCTAATAAATACAACTGCAGATCTGAACTAATATTAGCTGGTGATGTGGACATACATACCTCAATTTTTTGCCTCACAAGGTATGGTACAAGTTTAAACTATTGAGCTAAGCTCTATATATTCCTACTCCATTCAAAAGGTTGACACCACTTTTGCAGATGATGGATTTGCAGTAATGAAAATATTTTGCAACACTTTCTGTGATCAAAATAGAAATTTGCTTCAGTGAGGATTAAATACAGAAAGAACCATAAATAAAACATGATTAAGTACATGAGTTAATTAATGAATGTTGTGTTATCAGTGTGTGTTATTGTGCATAGAAAATGTAGCACAAAAATTTATTATATGTTACTAATGATTATATTAGTATGCTCATTTTTTGGCTTGTAATGTCTGCTGCATAAAATAGTCAGCTATAACCTCTTTAATTTAATTTTGTTTTCCCATAGTTTTCTGTTCCAGTATAACATTTTCTTGCTAAGGAACTAATGTGAAGCAATCAGCTTTCCAGATTCTGTCAAGAAAGTGAAATGCATTCTCTATTGTTGTGTCTTACAGCTAGATTTTTTTTTTTAAGACTTGATTTTTTCCTCTTCCTCTCCCCTCCAAAAATTTTTAATAATAGTCCAATAAAGAGAGATCAGATGACTCTGGTCTGAGCATCTGACTGTGGTGGAGAAACAATTTCCTTATAAATCTAGAAGTATTAAACTCAACACTTGTGCTCTGGTCTCTGGTTTTGCTGGGTCTGTAGTGATGGGGAAAGCTAAGAAAATGACTGCCAGCTGCCAGATCACTTACTCTCTTACGCAGTGCCGTGAATAAAGGTGACTGGTGTCTAGGGCTGACAGAAAAATTGAATTATGCTGCTTAATATGTTACTTCTGGTTTATGCAGAAACAGTTACTTATGAAAGCACATCCTGAGTTCCTCTTGTTTGTTTTCACTTGTGGAAAATCATCTTGATTTGAAATTGAAACTTATCCTTAGTTCCTTGTCCCAGGTTTAACCATGAAGGACTGTAATGTTGCGGTGACACAGTAGACTGACCTGCTCATGTACTGGAAGAGAAAACTAAAGCAAAGTTAATAGTTCCTTGTGTTTGGGTGCTGCAGGATGGTCTGGGTGACAGTCCTTACTGTCTGATTTCTTAGAGTTGCAAAGCAGTGATTGTCATGGCCTGTGTAAACAGATGCTGGTTTATTTTTCTTCATTAAGTGCTTTGTTTATTAGATTTAATTCCCCATCCACTGCTGATGTACAGTTCTGTAGTAAAGCAGATAAAACAGTCATGTTTTATTACCTGAAAATTTGTCAGAACATGGACTTCGATACCCTGTCAGTAGTCATTTCTTACGGCTTTATTAAGTATTCTAGGATACCTGTAATTACTTCAAGCCATACAGTTCATTTCAAAACTCCACTCTAGGATCGTCATTTTTTTCAAAGTCATAAAAGAGACAGTATAATTACCAATACAGTGTACTAAATCAGATCACTTCAAATGGATGTGTTATTTTCTTTGCCTACAGATTGTCTTCCCATGTGAATACTGGGGAAATTATGGAGGCATTTTGTTTATTGAAAATATTAGATTGTTGAAGCAGAGTAGAGTGAATTTCTTTTTTCTTGATGCATTTTCATGAGTTAAACAAAGCCATGTTACTCAGTGCTAATGGCATGAAGGGATTTTCCTACCTATTTTGAGAGTTACTCTGGTGAGCTGCAGTTTAAATTTGGCAGTTCATTTTAACAGTTGGAAGAAATTGAAACATGACAGTTAAATACATGAATAATCTGCTGTATGAGCTAATATCTGTATGTACAAATATAGCTCTGAGTAAAGAGCACAGTGACTGGCAAATCAAAAGGCTGTCTCCAGGGGCTGTGGTGCTGATAGCAGGAGGAATGTCAGTGGTAGGTCTGCTCACCTGCAAAGAGTGCCAAGACATACTTAGTCTCTGGCTGTGCTAGTGTACTTGTTATTGCTTTGCTTTGGTACAGAGAAAGAGCCTATCTTGAAGTTTTCTCAAGAAACCATTTAGCCAATAACCTATTGGCACTATTTAGACACATGGACAGACTGATTTTGGGCCCCCCACCCCTCTTTGTTTCTACTGTATATGAGCTTCCTTCAGACTGTGCTTTCAAGAATTTTTTTAACCCAAGTCATGGGAGACAGTTGTTTTTCTAAATGCAGGCAGCTACTCTAACTGCACCTAGGCAAGAGTACACAGTGACTTTAGGAACTGTAAACTACTAAATGCATTGCAGAGCTTCCATATGAAGTTTCACAGAAAATGCACCTTCAATTGACCAGTATCTTTTTGAGGTTTCTAGTCTTTGTGTTTCTTCTGGCTTTGGGCAGGATTACAAAAGCTCTGCTTAGGGGAGTATTGTTTGTGGTGTACCACCAAGTCTTTGTAAATTATTCCACATGGGATTAGTCAGTGGGAAGAAGTTAATTTTCAAAATACTGTTTTAGGACACCTTCACTAGTTGACTAATTAATGGCTAAAATATGCTCATAGAGTTGTTAATGCACATGGATACCATGTTTCTGTTCTGGTGTTAGTTGGAGATTTTTTGATCTAATTGTAGAGAAGGTTGCTTGTTAGTATTAAACTATGCAAGATACTAATAATAAAACCTTTGCATGTATATTTTGAAGGCAAAAAGTCCCAATTTCAAGAACAGCAACTCCTTAAATAATCCTCTTTTTGTTCATGTTCTTGCTTTTTCCAAGATTACTCCTTCCACCTGATGCTTCTTCAGTTCCTTCAGCAATATTAAATTTTGCAGCTCCTGCTCCTGAAGCTTTCTCTGCTCTCTGAAGCTTTGCTCTGCAGGTGTCATGCCTGCATCTACAGCTCTTCAGAAAAACCTATTAAACATTCTTTCATGTAACATAATTAAACTCAGATATTATGCAAAACTAAGAGGTTAGGAGATCTGCTTTATTTACTAGATGTGAGAGGTTTTAAATGCACCAGAAAATCATAACTTCAGTTTCTGGTGCATTTCACAATTTTCATGAATCGATGTCACAAACTAGTCCACTGGATTTTTTTATTTTAGCAGGAAAAAAATAGGCAGAAATTTAAGGTCCTGATAGCTCAAACTTCTTATAGCTGAATACGTCTCACCTTGATTTCTTTAAGAAACACTCAAGAATGTTAAAAACATGTTCATTTAATAGTTTTTTCATAAAATAATGTCTCATGATCACTTAGCTGAGTAATGACTGCAATGTGCAATTTAAGAATTTGGTTTCATGCCTGAATTTAGATGAAGTTTTCAAAAATGTTTTCAGACTTTGTAATAAAAGCTTTAATTCCAGTTTTCCAACAAGAATTAGTGTTTAATTCCAGTTTTCCAACAAGATTTATTGTATTAATTTTGCACAATTTAAAATGAATTTAAGAGCTGTTTAGGAAAATAAATAGAAGTAATCATGTTTTGATGTAAAATAAAAATTGGCAGAGGCTCAAGCAGACTGCTTGCCCAGTTTCTAATATGGATGAATTCAATGGCTAGACAGTGCTCAGAATAAGAAAACAAAAGCAGACTTAGACTTTATTTCCTGCTATGGTGGGTCTTTTTGAGCAGCTGTTAAACTTTTCTTTTTAGGCTTGGAAGTTCTCAAATCCTTACTGTGTAGAAAACTGTGTGTTTGAAGACCTGAAGGCATCACATCCCAGAAAGCAGTTTGCACATAGCAGAAATGTACTATGCTAGTACTCAGGTTTTTAACAAGGCATTTTAAAAAGGCTGATTCTCTTCTTTCTCAACCAACAGGTTCGCCATAAAATGACACAGAAGGTTTATGCAATGAAACTCCTTAGTAAATTTGAAATGATCAAGAGATCAGATTCAGCCTTTTTCTGGGAAGAAAGAGATATCATGGCCTTTGCCAACAGCCCGTGGGTGGTTCAGGTAAGGAAGATGTGTAAAAGTAAAATAATAACAACAATAGCAATAGTAATGATGCTGAGGCCATAAATACTTCCCAGTCTTGAGCTGGTTTTAAATTTACATTGAAACTCAAATCAAGATTTAGGTTCAGATTTTTACTTCTAAAAACCACATTTTTACAGCAATTTCACTAAGTTTTATATATCTGGCTGTGCTAAAAAGTAGATTAATTTGCATTTTAGTTCTACAAATGCATCATAAAACAGAATTAAGGAGATTTTTGAAATGCCTACATAATTATTTGGAATAATAGGGAAGTTATCTTTCCAACTGTGAAAAAATATGTATAGGAATGTAGAAACAAATGTGATTGGTATTTCCAGTCTTTCCTCATGATACAGTCAGTTGATCACAGGCAATTGGTATTAAGAGTGTCTTTTCAGCTGCAGTTTGGTATATGGATGAGTGTGCAGTCCTGGTCTCCTGCAAGACAGGGGCTTGAAACCCTTATGGGTTTCCTTGAAACCATCTTCTCGTAGTGGTCAGTTCTGAGCATCAGTACTCAGCATGCCCAGGGAACAGAGAGTTGATTTCTTCATCTGGTCTTGGACACCGTCACTTGCAGCTGTCTCATGACGTGTCATCAAGATGCTGTAATGTGAATTATGCCTTTGGGAACAATCAGTACTGATTATTGCCATTTGTTGTAACTGGTAAATTGCACCAGTTAACAAAAGGAGTGGTGAAAGTGTGCTTGGAGAAATTTAGTCCTTAATTTTTAAAAATAATTAATTTCAATGCTCTCATATATATTGCTATGCTTCTGTATATTTGATAAGACTGACTTTAGGCTTTCCATATATTTTTAATAACACTTTACCTTAGTTGTACAAAGATATTTTTACTCTTTGAGCATGATTTGTGCTCTTGCCTATATTCAGCAGAAGTATTTAAACAAATAGAGGATTTTTTTATTTAGTTCTTTGTTCTTGTAACAGTAATTGTCAGGAGCTATTTTTCACATGCAGTTGAAAGTAATGAGAAATGCATGACGTGGATTTTCAAAGGCAATTGTCACAAGCAGGATATATATGTGTGTCTGCATTTGTAAATAGCAAATGAACTAAAGTGTAATTGCAATTCTGCCTTCTATGGTTATGTGTCTTAGTGTGATATATTTAGGTGATGTGGTCCAGTGGGGAAGGACACTGAGCTGGTTTAAAGAAAATGTAGGTCCTGTTCTGATCTGGAAACTGGGACAGATCACACTGCCTCTCTCTGTCTAGTGCTTAATGTGAAAAATAAATGAAACAAGAGCCCTAGATCTAAAAACTAATTTTTTAATGAAATCCTTTAAGGGCAATAACAAAAGTGCTGTATAAAGACATAGTGCTGTTATCTGTTATTATTTTAATATCTCTACTTGTGACAAAATTGAGATTATTTTGAATTTTCATTTGGATTTTAATGAACCAATGGATTATTATACTATATACTGCATATATTATCCATTTGTGCAAACAAATACAGTGCAGCATATATGTTTTAAAACATGTATTTCTGATTTAGGTCTTGTGTCACTAGTTATACAAGTAATTTTAATCTGAATGTCAAATCTCCATAATAACATAGCTGCCTTTCACAGTTCCTCATCCTCCACAGTCTCCCTGATTCTGACTTCATCCTTTCCACACATCCTATTTTTCAATTGCCTTTTAATTTTGCATGTTACTGAAAGATGTGAATGCTTTTAGTTTTTAAAATAAGGCAGTATTCCCTGAGAAATAAGGTGAGACTTTCAGGGAGATTCACAACAGTCACTGAACATTTGATAGTAATGCTTTTTGCTGGACTAGGCTATTTTCAGACCTGGTGAGCACCGAATGTAATCTCTAGAACTTCAGCACTCTAGGTCTGAAATACATTTTAAAGAGACTGGATTTACTTTCACTATCATGCCAGTAGGAAACATACTGACTGCCACTTATACCAGATCAGTATTTTATTGTTAAGGACAGTTTCTTTGAATTGTGTTAATTTTCTTCAGGAACATTTTGTTCTTATTTTTTATTTCAGTATGTGTTGATTTAGGACAAAGTCAGCAGTGACTTTGCAAATATGTACAGAGATAAGGAATTTATAATCTAGAAAGTTTGGAAACAGTATAAGATGCTGCTCACTGTTGAGCTATTTTCAAATCAGAACATAATATCCTTGATGCAGATTTGATTCTTTGCATTTTGACTCAGTAATACTTCTTCAAGCCAAGAAACATGGAGACAGATTGATGGATGGATGTCTGTAGTATTAAAATAATCAGGAAATATTTTTTTACTTTCTCAAAAAATATAATGAGGGAGTTCAGAAGTTAGTAAATTTCAAGGTACTCTCATAATTAATAGAAAAGTGTATTTTTATGCATATTAAAAGAAATCTTGAAAACGTATTCTCAGGTTCAATGAAACTTCAAGAAAAAGAGCTTTATTCTTTTCCCTAGCTGTCTGAAAAGTAATTGCATTTTTTTCCTTTCCCTTTTTTTAACATTGCAGCTATTTTGTGCCTTTCAAGATGACAAATATTTGTACATGGTAATGGAATACATGCCAGGTGGAGATCTTGTAAACCTTATGAGCAATTACGATGTGCCTGAGAAATGGGCCAAGTTCTACACAGCTGAAGTTGTTCTTGCTCTTGATGCAATTCACTCCATGGGCTTGATACACAGAGATGTGAAGCCTGACAATATGCTTTTAGATAAGTATGGGCATCTGAAGCTGGCAGATTTTGGCACTTGCATGAAAATGGATGAAGTAAGTATGCAGCTGAAAAATTAACCATTGATTAAACTGTAATTCTAACATATCTATATCTAAGGTTATTTTCTTATGAAGTATAATATCCAGAGGAATGTTCATCTAATGATCTACTTGGTTGGAAAGCTGATTCTTCTTTCCTATTTTTAAATATTAGAGTATTTTAAATAGTGTAACCTTTTCTGTTACAAACTGTTCTCTCATACAGAAGAAGGATGTAAACTTACTCTCTGCTATTTTTTAAGGCATATGCATTTATGAATTTCTAAGATACATTTTTTTTGCCAAATGTTTGAAAAGCTCACAAGATAACTCTTAGTTTCAACATTAATAATCTTGGAACAGTTCATAAGCTTACATTTTTTGTAAATTAAATTATTTTATAGGCAAGATACATTCTCTGTGTGTTTTTCTTTTATCTAATTGTTCTCATAGCATCCTCTAGTGGTCATTCAAATGAGGTCACAGTGTGGCAGCAGTGGTATATGATATATTGATCAAGATCTGTTACTTATTTGTCAGGATGCCAAGATGTCAACTAAAATTATTTAACTGTCCAGATTTAGCCATGTACAGCCAAATACAGTTTCCTAATGAGTTTGTATAAGAATATTTTTAACGGGGTACTTTATATTATTAAAAAAACTTGAAAATAAAACTACCTTTGTACTTTGCACTCTTAGAATCTTGCCTGACAGTGTTATTACAGCTGTAATTTACAGAATATACTCTTCCTATGAAAAATTATAAGATTATAACATATACAAAAAACACTGTATATGAATGCGCGTTATGATTTACATCTTTGAAAGTTTTCTCTAGTAGTGTTGGCAAGAGTGATCCTTTTAAGCGTACTTGCTTTTATGTTTTGGGGTTTTTTCTGTATTGTTTAGGGAGTGCTTGATATAATTTCTGCTATCTACTTAATTTGTATTTGCATTAACTTAATGTCTCTTCAGCAGTATCCAGAAGTACTGCATCTGTTTAGGGTGGGTTTTTTTTCACATGACAATATATTAATTTTATCATTGTCCAGCTGCGGCTGTTCATTGAAGTTCAGTGTTTTCACATTTGTTGATGTTGTAGTTGTTAGTCCAAAGGCAGAGTTAATATTTACCTCCATTTTGTTGATTTACTTTCCTGTATTTTGAAGGACAGCATTTACTTTAATTGAAAAAAATCAAAAGTTGTACTTGGTCTCTTGATTTAGTCCTTAAAAATATTAATATCTGTTTTGAATCAATAGGTTGTAATATCGTAAGGGAATCTGTTGCTCATTGGAAGGGACAACAAAAAAGCATAAAAAACCTCACAATATAAATCTAAAAAAAAAAAAAAAGGGTGATCCTCTGTGCTGTTTTAGGGATCCCAGAAATGGTGGACCTACACCTACACCTTTTACTTTTTTTTTTTTTCATTTTTGCTGCTATTGTTAAAATAATGGAATACTAAAATGCAGATGACGACACTAAATGTGACAAATACATCGGTGTTTCTCATAAAGTTACAGTGAGCTCCACTTAGATGGAGCATCATCAGTGGACCAGTGATCTCCTAGAGAAGTTAATTTTTTAAAGGATAACATTTTCAGTTCTTTCTGTTTCTCACACTCAGTGGAATGGCAAAAATTTTTTCTACAGGAAGCTTTAGAAGTTGAGAGGTTCTGGATTGTCTCCAAATCTCATGCTACTTCTTACAAAACATGAACACATCCCAGCTGTGTAAATATAATATTGGTGTTGGCTGACTGATTTGTAAAAAATATATGCTTACCCAATCTTATTTATTTTTTGGATTTAGATCTCTTTTAGCAGTTGTGAGCCTTATTAGCATCTTCTTTATGCTTTTGAGAGCCCAGGAAAATTTTAGTGCAATTTGTTGAGGAATTTTTCTGACCTTTGCTGTGGAATTGTGTTCAATGGTTGCTTAAGTCAGCCAGGCCAGGCCAGAACAGACACTTGCAGCAGAGTTCCTCCTTACAATTTTGTGAAAAGAGTTGCTAAGTGTTTTAGTGATCTTTCCCAGCATAAAAGGAACTGCTCTGTTTTCATAACTCAGTTGTGATAATTGGGGGTTCGTGGCATTGTTTTTCATTGTTTGTCTTGGCTTTTTAAAATTAGTTGTATCATTGAGTGAGTATTTCTGTTGTTGAATAAAGAATGGCATTGGATTCAAAAATTTAGTAGGAATTGTGGTTCCCTTATTTGGTATTTAGGTATATTAGGTAGATCAGGACCGGGTTCACCAGTCTGTCTAACCCTCAGGTGTTGTGTAACAAACTAAACAGCAGCTGGTTTTCGTAGGTATTGCAGGGCCAAGAGCTCCCAGTGTTACCATCAAAGCACTGTCCTGTGCTGACTGAGGTTTCAGCAGAGCACAAATTCAGAGAGTATCTGTTGAAAAAGATGTGACTAAAAGAAGGGATTCTTGGGATTGCCACTTGGGATTGTTGCCTCAGCCCAGGCAGTTTAGCTGAAAGAAGCAGCGTTTTCCTCTTTTTGGAACTCAGCTTCTTTATCATTGAAGCTTGTCCAGTGGAGAGGACTCTGCTGGACCCTTCCTGCCTCAGTGCATTGTCTGCTGTTAACACCTGATGTGTGTGGTCCTCATGTTTCCACACAAACACCCTCCAGCTCTTGTTTACTGGAAGGAAGTTCCTGAAGGAATGAAAGCCTGATTGTCAGCCTTGGTTCAAGACATCAAGTCCTTCAGGTTTGATGGAGATCCTCCTGAGGATGAAACCTGAATGGCTTTGTCTTCAGCAATATAATAATGCTGAATGATGCTGGGAAACACGACAGGCTCACCTCCAAGTTGCCAGGAGCTGAGAGAACATTGCTGTGTCTCCTGGAGAGCCTATTTTTTTAAGACTGTGCACTGTACATCTCTCACATAGCTGAAGGAGCTGAGTTCCAAGGTCCACCATAATCTTTTGAGGTGATGAGAAAATTTTCAGGTAAAACACAGGAAGCTTTGCATGACAACTGTCATAGCAAGTATGCTACTCAGGCATGGAGGCTTAGTGTTTGAAACACAGGAGTAACACATTGCCCAGAGAAAACAGTACCATTTAAGCCTCTTTTGAATGCAGGGACTGCCAAGGTGCTCTGTTGGACAGAGAGCATATCCCTATTTACTCTACTTTGATGCCAGAGATCACAGTCTTGACTGTGGTATCAAATTCTTTGAAAGAAGACGTGTGTAAATGAGCAGAACAGAAATCTGGCAGTTTCATATTTAGGTGATAATTGGCCAGCCTCCTGAGGGACCTGGTAGAATGCCCATTTTGTGATGGAGTTCCACAGGCTGCTAGATAATCTTTTATCAACTCCTTTTTCTATGAGTTGAGTCATATGGTTGAGTCAGATGATCTTTCAGGTCCCTTCCAAGCCAGGCTGTTCTGTGATCTGTAAACGCATTTCTAGGTTAGTTCCTGAGACAGAAGGTAGAGAGTTTTATGGGGAATAAGTAGAACCAGCTTAATGTGGTTCAGAGGGCTGTGGCCTCTTGAGCCTGGTGTTAGCATTCAAAGTCTTCTTCTTCTGTAGAAGTATTTTTTGTTTGTTTTACTGCTCAATTCTTTGTCGTCATGTATGAAAACTCAAAGTGTTACTACATGGAGTTCTTTAACATCTGGAACATTTCTGAAAATACTTTCCTTGTTGCTGCATAGCAGCCATCTGATTTGTGTAGGTCTGGCTCAGTTGTGGCACAGCCTTTACTTTGTTTGTTTAAAAACTCAGAAAATATCAACATGTGTAACATATTAAAAAGTATTCTTGCTTTGGTGGATCAGTTATAGAGAGATGGGAAATAGGATGTTATTAAGTGCTTAGGTGTCAAGGGAGAGAAGCTGTGGCTGATGCTGCAGACTTCAGAGAACTCTATCAGAACTATTTTGGTGACTTTGTTTTTAAATAATCTCCTTACCCAGGAAGGGATTCAGGTGGTTTCAGCCAGACTTGACTGAGCAAAAATTCAGACTTTCCCCTGTTGTAATTGTGTGTTTGGATAAGGAAGAGATAGACACACACCAGTGCTGGAGCCTCATTAAGTTGCCACAATCCTACTGGATGAGCAGAACCACATAACCCTAGAGTGACTCCTCCTGTGCTCAAGGCAAAGAGAGGCTTAAACTTCAGAGAAGTTGTGCAGGTTAGTGTACAGAGTGCTGTGGCAAGCAGGATAATCAAATAGTTGTTCCTTGCCATGTACTAGATCCATTTTCAAATGCTGTCAACGTCAGATTCCTGGAGTCTTTGAGCTTTAGTTTATTTTGTAGTGTTAAAATATGTTTGCCTGTATTTTTCTTTGTCTCATGAATACAATCGGTCTTCTGGAAAGAGCTAACTTCATTTTCTTATCCCAGTATGAATAAGCTATGTGCTGTCTTATCCAGTATAGAATGCTAAAGTTTGCCTGCTGTTCATTCTGGAATTGAGAAGTTAAAATTTATTTATGTTTCAGTTTTAGCTTGGAGTCATAGAAGATAGACATTTGCCAGGAAGACATTTGAAATATTCTGTAGGTCTTTACAAGATGTAGTCATCCCTTTAATTTTTGTTGGCTGGTTAGTAACTTTCTGGATTCTGTTCTAGTACAGAAAAAAAAGCTTTTCACAGTTCATATTGTATAGGAGAAAGAATATTATAATGTGGTGTCTAAATTTTGTGTATCAGTACAATTCCAAAATCTAATGGTTCTCTCTTTAAATATGTATTTTGAACTTAGTTGTTGCTACTAAAATTGTGTATTAATATTCAAAATAAATACATATTGCCATTCATGATGATGGCAAAATGCACTAAAAACCTTTGTAAAATGGTTTAGATAAAACTTCAGATTAGGAAACAGAATAAAAGGTAAGTGTATTTTTGATACTCCTCTAACTTCATCAAGGATTTAATTTCATTCATCCATCTGGTCTTAGGAGTGAATTCAGTGAATTTCAATACAGGAAACAAGACTTACAATTCTGAATCAGAATGATGGCAGAGATGACTGATGCTTCTGCGTCAGTCAGTCCCTACATTTTTAGTTTCTCAGTGTGAAGCAGAGTATGAGCAATCATTTCATTGATACAATTGTGGTAATATGTTAATAAGGAAAAAAAAAAAACTTTGCTATTCATTAAAAATAGCTTCTCCTTTTAGTCTTCTTTATATATATAGACAAAAACAAAGTGTGCATACAGATTTACTTATAATTTGATTTATTGGCTGAATTAGACAAAATTGTTGGGTATGTGCTTTGTAGGGCCTAGAATTCATAACTCATCAAAGCTATTCTAAAATTTGTCCCTGAATTCAATGAGATAAGGAGCAGTCTGATATGCTGTGTACCTTCAGATTAAAACCAACAGTAAAAATAATAAAATTGGTGAGTTTTGAGAAGATGAAGTCAAATCACTATGGAGTAGGCAGAGGTAAGCACATTACCAAGAAATGTTTCAGACCATATTGCTTCTCAAATTCGAATTAGTCTTTAAAACACACTCCTCAAACAAAGTATTACAGGCTACATTTTTAATGATTTTCTGTCCTACTAACAGAGAAATTGGTTAAAGAGATGCTCAGAAGGCCCTTGAGCTGAGCTGTTTGTGTTGTTGCTGTTGCCCAGACAGGAATGGTGCGTTGCGACACGGCCGTGGGGACTCCCGACTACATCTCGCCCGAAGTCCTGAAATCGCAGGGGGGTGATGGCTACTATGGACGGGAATGTGACTGGTGGTCTGTAGGGGTTTTCCTTTTTGAGATGTTAGTTGGTAAGTAATGATTTCTTCTGCTAGTGAGACTGTGATTGAGTCTTCCCTGTGCATTTAGCTGCACTTTGCTGCATGGAGGCTGCTTGTACCTCACTGACAGCTTCTAACTTCTGGCTGATGCTGTGGCTCATTGCTGTTCTCTTTGCTCTCTGTCACTCTCACACTGCGACAGCTGTTTGCGTGCTTGCTCAGTGATTAGTTCCCTGACTCGGTTCAGCTTAAAACTAATTCTTAGAATAGTTTTAGCTGGGGTCAGCTACCTCACTACATTTGTGCCACCTCAGTCAGGATTGAGTTTGCAGGGACACAAGAGGTGAGAGAAAAGGCAAGGGTAGGCCTGCTCTTTTCTTTTCTCCTTCTTTTCCACAGCACATCTGTCTTCTATTAGGTCAAAGTGCGGGTATGGGTCAATTCTTTTTTTTTTTGTGCTTAAGTCAGGATTTTCTAGTAAAATACACTGGACTGCTATGGCAATGAACATAGAATATAATCTGTTCAGGAGATGAGTCATCTGCATCTTAAAATATAGTGAGGATCAGTATGATAGTCTGGTAGCAAAATTCTGATTATGGAAGGATGGAATTGAGCATACAATTATTAAAAATCAGCATTTTCTGGGAATATTGCAGATTTGATGTTTCTCGCATGCTGAGACAGGAGATGCACTTAAACATGATGCTATTACTACTTCCAGTTCTTTCAGAATTACATCATTTTGACTTCATGAATGTTTTATAGTTAATAGCCTCTCATGAACAAATTTAGTAGTAAATAAAATTATTCAGTTCTTAAAATATTGGGCATAGCAGAATATTTTCTCTGCATTTCAAAGCCTGTTTTTTTCCCCCTCACTGGTATCTAGGAGGAAAATATTACTTCATTTCCCCATATCCCACATATTGGTAGAAAGTATCTATTTTTATCTGTACTTTAGTATCAGATTCTTCCAAAACTTTGCACTTCAAAGAAAGCACATAAACTGTTCTGTTATTCTGGTGATAAAACCACAGAACTAATGAAAATGGTAATTTTATTATGAAAATTAAAATTTTATTGTGTGCTCAATTAAACCGTAAAATATTGGTCACAGGATGAATCCTAACTTTAGTTCAGTGACTTAAGATAGTTTTAAGGTGTGGCCAAAATCAAAGCTATTTCCAAGACAGAAGAGGATTATGAAGAGGAAGGCTGGGAAAGAGGGAGGCAACAGCAAATACCAGTGATTCCCACCTGCAATGCACTGTTATGGCAACGTAATAAATTTGCTAAAAGTCTAGAAGTTAAGTTCAAGCTGCTGTATACTAATTTCTTATTTTGCTATAAAATGGCAGAAAGAGACAAAACAAAAGCAGAATGGTTGTTGTCCATTGGTTTGTTTGTACATTTTTTCACGTTCATGGTTTTGAAATGCTTGGTTCCTCGTTGGAAGGCCACAGCCTGCAGTGCCAGGTGATTCCTGCCTGCATGCAACACACCAGAACCAAGGAAAGAGCCTGGCTCATGTGACTGTTCACCTTCTCTATTAAACCTATGGATTAGTTGAGAGAAAGGATCCCTGTGAAAGTTGCAGCTTCTTGATTACAGACCCAAACCATTTCTATGTTAAGAATGTTGCCAGTTAATTTGTCAGTTGCCTTTATCACAGCCTATTCTTTTCACTTGCCCCAGTTTTACCTTTCTTAAGTCTAATTCCTTTGCAAATATCTTTAACTACAGCCTAGGCTAGAAACCTCTGGATGAGAAGTCTTATTATTTTAAAAGCCACCTGCCATGTTAATATGGGCATTCAAGCTGATGTAATTTTCAGTCAGCAAGATTTATTAATATGGGTTTAATAGTGTGGTAACACACTGGAGGGCTCCTGCTCAGAGCTGGCATGCCTTAGGGAACATAGACCTGTTGCCTCTGAAATGGTCTTCAGAGAGCTTTGGTGGATTCCTTTTAACAAATGTGCATGAGCAAATCTTTAATGAGTTTTAGTTTTATCCTTGGAATGTTTAAAGATTGATTCCTATGGGTGTCGGCCATTATGTAAATTAGAAAATATATGAGAGCTTTAAGGCAGAACAAAAGATGTCATTCACCAGGCAAAATTTTGGTAGGGATAGACAGGAAGGAAAATGGTGTAGTTTATAACACAGACATTTTAGGGAAGGAATATTTTTAGTAGTATACATTACTTGTACACTGCATGTCCATTTTTTTTTCTTTTTCTTAATAAAAGACTCTTCTAGGTAAATTGCTTGTAGACTTTTCATTATCTCTTCTGTCTTATTCAACTTGCATAACTTAAACATGATGTAAAATCACAGCCAGTTTACTGTTTTATTTTCAGGCGATACTCCTTTTTATGCAGACTCACTAGTAGGAACATACAGTAAAATTATGGATCATAAGAACTCATTGCATTTCCCTGATGATGTGGAAATCTCTAAGCATGCAAAGAACCTTATCTGTGCCTTTTTAACTGATAGGTAAGTGCACATACTTTTCTGGCACTGTTTTTTATTTTGGATGGTACATTGTAAAAATTAATTCCTTCTCCTACTTCTCCTGATCTCTGTTCAAATCTCTTCTGCCAAACCTACTGTTCTCTAATTTTCCTTTTGAGGTGTTTTTTCCTGGTATTGTATTTTATTTCTATGAGCAGTTCTTACAACTCTTGTTAACAACACAGTTTTTACTGGACAAATCCTTCAAATAGCAATAACACACTTGTAATGCTGAAAGTAATTAGTAACCTCAGAGGCAAGGACAAAATTGTTTTGCTCAGTGTCTATATGGATGTTACTTAAAAAAAGTGGAAGGAAGTACTTTTCTGAAAGTAAGCATGTATTTACTGAATTTTTTTTTCATTTGCTTTGTTGCATTAATTGGTAAATATAACTAACAAACCTTCAATGTTATTGTTTTGGCTACAAAAAAAAAAAAAATCCTAGAAGTTTCCCTTAATGGATCTAAGCCACTTATTGAAATTAAGCTGTGTAAGCTTGTTCTTGACCTGAGCAATTACGTTTTGTTTACTTTCAGAAAGCAGAGATAATCTTCAATTTCACTGATTTAAAAAAACAGGGTAGGTCCCCAGTTAACTCTGGATCGATGATGCCTTCTTACGCTTTCCTGTGGTCACCTGAACTTGGCTGGAGCAGGGCATCCGGCCGCTGTAGAAGGAGGAATTAGGAAAACAAAATGCCTTATAATGGGTTTTACATTCGAAGAGAGATTGTTTGCTCTGCTGAGCAAGCCTGTGGTTGGTCAGGAAGGATGTGCTTTATTTAACAGCATTTTTCACCTTTAGTAGCTGAAGGGTAAAGAGAAAATATGATTAGAATTTAATAGTGTAAATGTAGTAAGGTGGACTTGTACTACGTGTGTCCCTCTTCCTGTTTATATTTAACACAGGGCTTGAGCAATTTATTTGAAACAGATGCTGTGTGATCACTGCTGAAGCACTTAAAGAAGGACTAAACATCAACTCTGTGATTTATGGCTTCTTTTCCATGCATTGTTTTTATGTCCTGTTCTTTTACGTAGTTTCAAGAGAGATTCCTGTTCAAACTAAAAGTTTCTCGTTGCACTTAAGATTTACTTCATGGCAAATATCAGCAAGAGTCGTGTCAGGGTTAGTTGTGGGGCAGAGGATGGAATTCTTAGAATATTTATTTTAGTCCAGCTTTGAATAACTGTTCTGTGCAGCAAGTCAGACCTTCCTTCACTTGCGTCTTATGGTCTGTCATGTGGTTTGGCAGACACGAAAGTTCTGCAGTTTTATTTCCCCCAAGGGTGTTGAGTTTTTGTTTGTGTTTTTAGTTTCTTCTTAGTTTTTGCCTCAGTGCTCGCTTTTTTGCTTTACTCCCCACGTGGCAGACTCCAGATTCTGGACGTTTTAGCAGTCACAGGGAGAGTGCATGCTAAGAATCAGTAAATTTTATATAAGGAACTACAGATTAGTGGTTGGTGGTTTTTAAATTTTGTTTTTGTTTGACTGTTAGTGTAGCTAACACAGACAATCTTTACTGAAAGTTTAATTGCTGCTTATGAACAAGTCAGCATTTAAAAAAAGCAAAAGCAGCTATTTTTCCTAATGTGACTCCGGATTAATGGCTGTTTAGGGATGTGCGACTTGGGAGAAATGGAGTTGAAGAAATAAAGCATCACCCTTTCTTCAGAAGTGATCAGTGGAACTGGGACAACATTCGAGAGAGTAAGTAAATCAGGTTAAAAGTTCTATTTTATTCAGTATTTACAATAGTAGAAATTAAAATAAACTTCCAGTTGTATAAACAAAGTAATTTCTATCTATCAAGAATCTTGCTCAGACATTCATATTTATCACTTGTATTATGAAACCTTATATGAGGAAGGGTTAATAAATATGCATTTTTCCTACTGGAATTATTTCACCTTTATCATGTTTTTAATGTAGATGTTTCAATTCTAAACAATGGAATTGGATGGTTCAGAATTTTATCTGAAAGGAATGTATGTTAGCTTCTGTTTCTCTTGTTTTGTTGTTCTTTTGAGGTGGGTTTTTTTGTTTTCTTTCATTTTTCCTTTAATCTTCTGATAGTTAAGGCAGGAGTTTGACAATGGTCTTGTCAGTTTTGCTGCTTTTCATGTGAGGTATTGAGAACCTAATAGCTTTAGGTAAAAAAAGCAAAGTAGTTCAGTTCTCATAAGCTTGTCATATCTTCTAAAGTTTTATATTTACTAAGAAGTTTTAAAATTATTACTGTATTTAAAGTTATATTCTCAAGTGTGATTACCTGAGCAATATGTCTTGCATACTAGATGGTCTATGCATTAGGCAACGAATACAAAAATAGATTGTTCTAGAAAAAATGGTTCATAGTAATATTTCCAGATCTGCTGCCTGGTTAATACATATTTAACTCTAAGTTATTTAAGGACATCTTATAATACAGTCTTCTAACACTAGAGACATACCTGTATATAGCAAGTGACTGAATCTTGGAGTGAAATTCATCTTTTTTCCCCTTTTTATAGCTGCTGCTCCTGTTGTTCCTGAGCTTAGCAGTGATATAGATAGCAGTAATTTTGATGACATTGAGGATGACAAGGGAGACGTGGAAACCTTTCCAATCCCCAAAGCCTTCGTGGGAAACCAGCTGCCTTTCATAGGATTTACCTATTACAGAGACAATTTGTATGTGATACTTTAATATGCATTTTTAAAAGCATACCTGCACAATTTTTCTTACATTCTTTCTTTTTTTCACTCTAAATGCATAATTTATTCCTTGCATTATATTAATTTATGTCCAATTGTAAAGATACAAAATGAAAAGTTTGAGTAAAATAATTTGTTACACTTTCAATTATTCCAATAACTGATTAAACAGTGTATTTTTATATTCACAAAATTATACAATACCTTAAAAATCAATTAGGGTGAAAATTCTGATAGATTTGTAATTTTTTTTCTAAAAAGGCTTTTTATTAGTTATTTTAGAAGCTTACACAACATAACAACTTTCTAGAATTCATCTTGAATAATCAAGAAATAATTGTATTAATTAAAAATTACAAGCTGCTGTAGTTTTGGAGACATTCTGTTAAGGAACAATTCAAATTAGAAAGATGCATTAATACCAAAATGAAACAAGCTTCATTCTGAGAGCAACATAGGACAAATTGAGATTTGAGAGAATTGATTAAAATGACCAGGTTGCCAGAGTTGCTGAAAACTTTAGTAAGAGCTGGAGGGATTTGTTTCTGTTTTTGACAGGTTGCTAAGTGACTCCTCTCAGTCTTGCAGAGAAAATGAATCTGTGCAATCTAGTAAAAATGAGGTTAGTGCTTTTTTTATTTGTATTAATGGGATGATTAACTAATTTAGTTAATCTGTTAAGAAAAGACAAAGTCTAAATTAAGTCTGAAACAGTTCTGTGGGGGGCTTTTTCTCTTTTAATGATCCTCAATAAAAATGATATTTTCTATTTACAGGACAGCAAAGAGGTAAGTATAGTATCTGAATTATGAAAGGAATAAAAAAAAACCTTCATAATTTTATGTGGATGTGAAGTATCTTAAATGTTTATTCACCAAATGGTTAGCAGTAAACCAGTTATATTTTGAAACAGTTGTAATCAAGTGTTAAAGTGATAGTATACTAAAGTACTGTAGTATAAAGATAAACCAATACAGATATTTCTCAGATTCCTTTTGTATCCAGAATTTGTTTGGAAAGCCAATGTGTGAGTGTCTGTTTCCTACAGACAGCATTACTCTTATGAAGGTCCCACACTTACATTAATGATTCGTGACTGATTTATTCAGAGTTTGAAAAAGTAAATTATCACCTGCAGGGATAAAGGAATGTTTAAATCATATTCCGTTGGAGTATATGGAGCGTGTTTATCCAGCTTTTGAAGATTGACTAATGAATTTAAATTTGCATGACAGGAAAAGCAATGGCATTTTCATACACTTACTTCATTATGTTTCTTAAACATTTGTATTATGCAAGTGAAGATAGTATATTGTTAGCATTTCTTAAAACTTACAATTGCTTTTCAAATTTTAAAAAATACATAAAGGAAATGCATTATGTATTGATCAGATAAATTTAAATGCACAAGCTTATTAGACTCTACTTCCTTCCTGTCATTGATGAATAGATGAATAGTTTTAGACTTCACCTTTTGAGTAGAAATGGTGCTGCTGTTTAAAATACATATGGTCACATTCATGATGTTTAATTTATATTGTGTTAGTAAATGCAGATGGCAAAATTTTGCATCTCACTTCTGACAGCTTACTTTATCTGCATTTTCTCAAGCAACAAATCTCCAGTTTTGATGTCCTTTTCAATGTTCCTGTTGTGGAAATCTTCTAATTGTAACAATTATAAAGTATTTTGGAAACCCACATGTTTACATTTTTTGTTTGGGGGGTAGAAGAAGAGGAGGAAGGGAGGAAAATAAATGTGTTTGAAAGCCTGAAGTCATGAGATTAATCCAAAATCTGTTATTTATAATTTCTATTTAGGTACTGGACTCAATGATTTCTTAAAATTATTTTATTAAGCAAACCAAAACATTTCCAAAGTTTCCATTATCATCCAAGATGTAAGACTAAGAAATTCTTCATGTGAGGTCATTGAACATGTTTAGCCATATTATCTAAGATTGTCTGATTTGGTCATGTACACCCCTTTTTTATTTTTTTCATTTCATTTAGAAAATGCTATCCAAAAACATCTGCACCAGTGGAAAGTCTCTGGCTACAGAGCACAGCAAAGGGCCGGTAACAATGTTTTTTGCCCATATAAATTTAATGACTCACAATCTGTGGCACATAATTCTGTGATGGTTCAATTCAATAAGCAGCAAATTTTGTTGCTATAAATCCATATATTTAAAATTATCAGAATTAATACCTTGTAAAGATGTAACCTTCTAGTGATGGTTTTAAAAAAATATACTGGAAGATTTAATTAATTTTCCTCTCTTTCCCTTATTTTTTATTTACTTGAATTGCATTTGTTTTCTGTGAAATTATTTTTATATGTGGACCATGCTTTTTTGACATTTTACACAGTTTCAGAAAAAACTAAGCAAGCTAGAAGAACAGCTCAGTAATGAATTACAAGCCAAAGATGAACTAGAACAGAAGTACAGGTGAGAATGTTTCAGCATGCTTGGTATGTTTATAAAGATGTTTTATTAGACCTTTTGTTTCTGAATGCTTAAAAGCATTTTAATCCACTCTGGGGATTCCCAACCCTGCAAGCAGACCTCACTGTAAGTTGCTGGCTTAATTCTTGCTACTCCTTTGACTAATGGGATGGTTTTCTGGGGATTGGTTTAGATTTTTTTTGCTTTAACTCCCTATAAGAATCTCACTATTTAGTGATTTCACTGGTTCTTGAGGTTTTTGCTTAAAATAGAATATCTTGCGTGGAATTATTGAGACAAAAACACCTTACATAAAATTAGAGAAACACATCCAAACATTCTAATTTCTGTATTATCAGTAGGGTTTAAAATTATTTTTCAAATTTGTTCAGGTCTACAAGTGTTCGTTTAGAGAAGATAGCAAAAGAGCTCGATGAAGAGGTAAGGCCATAGATTTCTTACTGGAATTAGTAACATTTGTGCATGGATTTTTCCCTTCAGTAACAGCAAATTGCTTTTGAGTAGCTGTATATTTTATAGCAAATAACACCAGCTGATTTCTTGGTGTTCACAAGCATGAAATTGTTGTCACTGCTAAAATATTTTTATTATGATTTCTGTACTGTAACTGCACATTTCTTTCTAGAACTAGATTTTTACCATATATTTAAGTTGGCAGACAGCATGAGACAAATATCCCATACAGATTTTTAAAATTGAAGGTGTGAGAGTAGTGTTTCCAGAGGAGGAAGACCATGCTTTGGATTGCTTGGTGTTAGTAAAAGGACTCTTTCTTGCTCAGCTTTGTGCTTTACTGCTTCTACAAATTTAGATAATATATGGTTCGTGCAGGTGCATGTCAAGACCTTACCTTTACATGTATGTTTCTTTGCTCCCAGAATGACTGCTTAGGCAGGTCTACCAGGTTTGTCAAATCCAGATGATCAAACAATATTCAAATTGCAAAGCTCCTGGCCATAGACATCCTGGGCTGGATTTGACCACGTGTTCTGATACATAGTATTTGCAGCAGGCAGATGGACTGGCTTCCTCCATTACAGACTAAACTGAGTGCATGAGCTGTGTTTTTATCGTATAAAAATTACCACTCCTGTATATGTAATTAGTGATGTAATTTTTTTAATATATCCAGATAACTTCAAGGAAGAATGTAGAGTCTGCAGTCAGACAGTTAGAGAGAGAGAAGGCTCTTCTTCAGCATAAGAATACGGAATACCAGAGGAAAGCAGAACATGAAGCAGATAAGAAACGCAATTTGGAAAATGAGGGTATGTTCAACCATGCTTGAAGGTTCCATTTTGATGTGGGTTTTTAATACTTAAAATAAATGAATTATAGTTCCAATTGAAGTGTTTTCATGACAGTTATTAACAATGTTGAGTTGTGTTTGTTGCAGTTAACAGTTTGAAAGACCAACTTGAAGATTTAAAAAAGAGGAATCAGAACTCTCAAATATCCAATGAAAAAATCAATCAATTACAAAGACAGGTATGCCAATATTTTATAATAATCACTGCTTGAAATACAGATTTTGGTAACAGTGGAGGAACTTGGAATGTGTAATCAGGTTTTAAAAGCTGTTCTTTCTTGTTAGGTTTTGGTGCTCAAATGTAATCTTAAAATATAGTCCTTACTTCTTTAACTCATAAAACTTAGTATTCTGTAGTAGAAATAGTGTGCTTTATAATTTAATTGTTTCTGAAGTATGTTTTTATCAATCTTAGTTGGATGAAGCCAATTCTTTGCTGCGGTCAGAGTCTGATACTGCAGCCAGGTTAAGGAAGAACCAGACAGAAAGCACAAAGCAAATCCAGCAGCTGGAAATTAATAATAGAGAACTACAAGATAAGAACTGCCTGCTAGAGAATGCAAAACTCAAACTGGAGAAGGAGTATCTCAATCTTCAGTCAGCTCTAGAATCAGAAAGGAGAGACCGAAGTCATGGATCAGAGATGATCAGTGATTTACAAGGTATTCCTGCAAATCTTCTGAAGTTGAGATTGCTTCTTTTCTCTGGTGTGGGTGGTGTTATTTGAGTTTCAGACTGTGACTAGGTAAGCATGCTGTTTTATAAAATGTTACATAATTGTGAATAGCATTTAAGAAAAAATGTGTGGTAACATCTACAAAACATTTTTGATAGCTTTTAGAATCACCCTAAAAGGAGACATTCTTAATAGTCAGAATTAGAAGCTGTTACATTTCAAAAATGTTACCTCTAAATAGATAAAGTTTGTTTTCACACACTGACCACAGCCTCGTTGATATTTTGGTAATTTTAAGGTCGAATATCTAGCCTTGAAGAAGAAGTGAAAAATGGAAAGAGTGCATTAGCCAAACTGGAAATGGAGAAAAGACAATTGCAGGAAAAGCTCACAGATTTAGAAAAGGTAAGAGCACTGATAGATGAACATTTGTACTTTTATTACTTGACACATTGCAACCAAACCTATACAATTTTTTTTTCCCCCCCAATTTGAGAAGTGGGGGAAAAAGACATCATTTCCCATACAATCATAATACATTTTACTTCTAAAGTACTTAATTATGTACTCCATTGTGTACCTTAACAATACAATAGCTACATTTAATTTCATTTCAGTGTGGAGTTTTTTAAAATTCTCATTATTGCCAAAAATAAGAGCCTCTGCTAATAGGATTTTTTAAACAAAATTGTTATTGGAACAAATGGCTTGAAAAATTTCTTCAATAAACTTAATCTTCAGATTGCTCTTACTATAGAATGTTGGTTGTTAAGGCAGTAATTCTATAATTGTTTGCAACTGGGGATGTCGTACATTTTTAGAATGCTTTGATGTTCACAAAAAAACATTTATGGAAATGAGTTCTCATTTCCTTAGCATGAGCTCTCTCTTCTATTCCAAGTTTCCTTCCAAGCGGCATGGTGTTGTTCAAAATTCTGCCACTAACCTGGTGTATTTAATGTTTTATTTCAATATTATTTTTTCTTTAACAGGAAAAAAGCAACATGGAAATAGATATGACATATAAATTTAAAGTTATGCAGCAGAACCTTGAACAAGAAGAAGCTGAACATAAAGCCACAAAAGCACGATTAGCAGACAAAAATAAGATCTATGAGTCTATAGAGGAAGCAAAATCTGAAGCCATGAAAGGTGTGTATTTGACATCACAGTTGGACTTAGGTGTGAATTGTACAAAGTAGATAATATAATCTTTCACTGTGCATATTCTGGTGCATCTCATGACAACTGAAATATCTTGAAGGGAAGGATAATTGCCAAAAAAATCCAGAAGATAGCTCTTATTTTGAATTAAATGGCTTATGTTTATTGCAGCTAATTAAAAAGCTACCTACAGATCCTGTCCTTCCAATTGCAGAACATTCCCAAAAATTTTGAGCATGCAGATCTTCAAAAGAAGCAAGAATGATTCAGTAACAATGGCTGAGTTACTTGGCATATCAGGTTCTCAAACAGCATCAGCTCTTTGATTTTATATTGTCACAGCCAGAGCACAGTAGACTTAAATGTTTTATTTTTAAAATTCTACCTGTTTTGTTAATCTCAGAGGTGTTGCAGATAAAACTGGAAGTTATCTAAAAGCTCAAAAGTAGGAAATAGTTTTGTCAGAAATGCTTAAAAGCATCCTCTGGGTGTGTATCTACTGTGAAAATTTTAACTAATCACTTCTAAGTAGTCTTTCTATTCAGTTTTAAAAGGAAAACCATGTGGCTTATTGTTAGTACAGGGTAGACATTCTCTTCCCTTTGACCTCCAAAATCTGCTGTTTACACTTCACTGATGTCTTATACCTTTTACTTCACAGAAATGGAAAAGAAACTTTTGGAAGAGAGAGCTTTAAAGCAGAAAGTAGAAAATCGGCTGTTGGAAGCTGAGAAGCAGCGCTCCATGTTAGACTGTGATCTCAAACAATCCCAACAGAAAATAAATGAGCTCCTTCGACAGAAGGATCTACTGAGTGAAGATGTAAGGAGCGCTTTGTCTTGAGTCAAACCTTGTTTTCCATGTCCTAGTATTTTTCCTGTTATAGCTGTATTTGGGAATATTTGTGAATGAAAACGGCAACAAAGTTTTCCCCCTCTGCCTTTGAAACTTTAAAAGGTTTGCTTATGAAATGTGGTGTCATTTTTCTGAAATATTTCAGAATTATTCATGTTAAAAGGTTTGTCCTCTACAGTGGTAAATGCTGTGAGATTGACATGGAAAAACTAGGTGATTTAATGTGTGCTAATGCCTTTTTTCAGGAAGCAGCTTTGATTTACCAAGAGATGTAAAGGAGGTCAATTAGAGACTGTTTAAGTGTTGTTTTCTTGTGTAGATCTGTAAAATTCACAGGTTTCTACTTATTTTTCAGGTAAAAAACTTGACGTTAAAAATAGAGCAAGAAACGCAAAAGCGCTGTCTCACTCAAAATGACCTCAAGATGCAAACACAGCAGGTCAACACCTTGAGAATGTCAGAGAAGCAGTTAAAGCAGGAGAACAACCACCTTCAGGAAATCAAATTAAGTCTGGAAAAACAAAACAACGAACTCCGCAAGTATGCAAGTTGCTCTATATGTTTTTGTCATGTTACTGATTTGAAGTATTTTTGGAACAAAAGCTGGGAGCAAAATTAATTTTGAAAGTTGCTGCAAGGAATATGCTATTCTACAGTGCAAAACTTAATTGTTCTTTGAAATAACTTACAGTACCTCTAATTGTGACTTGCCCTAGTGATTCAGCAGTGTATAGGTTTGTATTAAAAGGCGTTCGTTAACCTGAAAAATCTTGGAAAACACAGCTTAAATATGAGTCTGAAAACTTGAGAGAAACACTTATTTAACTGAAGGCCTAGGTAACTTTTTTAATGATGTAGGACTTCAGTGAAGAGGAAAGTTACTGGAATTATTAGTCTAGGAGAGCTTATCAGAGTTGGAAATACTGCTACAGATCTACAAAGCATAACCATTGGAAATACCTAGTACTACAGATAACACATCTGTTGGACCTTCAGATAGGAGTGTCAGTAGTTCTTCAAGGTCTTACAAGTAGTATTTGCACCTGATAGCAAATAAGGAAAGAAACAATTTTATTTTTTACATAAAGAACTTTCTTGTGAATGAAATGACCAGGTTACCACACATATCAGATGAATCTCAATCCTAGCTCCTTTATGACTTGGATGTTTCTTCTCCCTGTGCTTTGCCTTTCTGTCAGGAAGATGCAGTTAGTCATGTAGAAGGTGGCCATAATGGGGAGCACTGGCAGAAGTCTTTTCTGCTACATTTCTGTGTTATGGAGCTGTTGTTTAAATAACAGATGAATTCAAGAAAATATGCATGTCAAGGAATACAGACATTCACAGACTGTGCTCTAGCAAACAGGAGACCCAAAACAACCAGTCAGATCAATGACATTTTACATGGAAATTAGATTCTGTTGGTGACTGTTTACTTTATCAATGTCTCTTACCAGTTAAACTTTGTGACACGGTTGTAGTTTATTGTGTTAGCAGTATTAAACTGACTTGTTATTAGTGCAGTATTCTCAGGTGTACGAGTGATAAAGAGAGCTGGTACCCATAGGAAGATTCAGGTTTAATAGCTGATGATACTTAGGTCAAGAAATTGCTGGAGATCTCAAGAGTGTGAATGCTCTCTTTTCTGTTTACTGCTTTGGAATATCTTCATATCTTTAAAGCATGTTCTTCCTTTCTAGGGAACGTCAAGATGCAGATGGACAAATGAAAGAGCTTCAAGACCAGCTCGAAGCTGAACAATATTTCTCAGTATGTTTGATGCTGTTTTATTTTTACATTAATCTGCTTACTGAGTATGTTAGCTTTTCTTCTTCCCCCTCAGCCATCAGATGTTTCACATCTGTAACCCAAAGCTACTGGTTTTTCTTGTGCATGTCTCCAGTGTTGTCTGCTGCCTAGATCTTGATCATGTTGAGAAATGTCGCAGCTTTGTGGGAGAGTTCAGAGGGAGGAGTCAAGCAACTCATTTTCCACAGTATGAATAATCTCATGCATTTTTCAAGCCTTTTCCATGCTGTATGGTAGAGAAGAATTGTATTCTCATGTGATGTGACAATACATCTACTGCTCAGATGGAAATTTTGCTTTACAACCAAACTTGGTAGTTATCTATTGGAGTTTTTCTTTTATTGTGGCAACGTGCACCAGAATAAATGGGTAGCATACTTAAAAATCATCACTGGCATGTGGAGGTTAGATTTTATTAACAGTGCGCAGCACATTGCATGAGATGCCAAAAGGCTTGTTTCAATATTAACAGAAAATTAAGATTTGCTTGTGGATTTAGATTAGTGAGGAGGAGGCCTACCTAAAATTTTATAGATGAAAATGTTACACATATTAAAGGAAAGAAAGGGAGCACTGAGGTCAGTTGACTGCTGTAGAGGGGCCAGAAAGACAATCTATCCTGAAATCCCTGCAGTGAGTACACTTAGAGTCATCTGTCACTTGATCTGTAGTCAGTCATTTGAATGGACAGAGCAAAATAATGTTTCTTTCATTTTCATCAGAGTTCTAAATTTATATTTATTCCATGAAATTTTGAATTTCAAATTATTTTCTAATTGTTTTTTCCCATATTCCTGTATTTCTTTTTGTTCTTTAACAGTCATACTGGTTTCATGGATATATATGATTAGATTCTAAACTCCACATGCCTAATTACATCAGACAAAGATTTAAAATAGTAGATAAAATAATTAATTATTTTCTGTGCTTCAGATACTTCTGGTTTTGTATAAAATAGTTATTTTCACATTTAGAATATCTTTTGCATTATTTATACAAAGAAAATGCAAATAATATAACTACCCATTCACAAATATACAAATTAAAAAAGGAAAAACAACAAAGTAAAATAACCAAAGCACATTTGTGAATGATGATGACATTTAGATAAGTTTCAAGAAGGCATTGCACAATTATACTCTAATTAGTGTGATTAAAGAACTGCATACCATGTCAACTTGTATAAATTTTGTGGATCCTCAAGAGTATAGAAATCACATAATTTTCTTTCCAACTTTAAATTCTAGACTCTCTATAAGACACAAGTTCGAGAACTTAAAGAAGAATGTGAGGAAAAGACCAAAATTTGTAAAGAAATGCAGCAAAAGATGCAAGAATTACAGGATGAGAGGTAGGTTTTGCTAGTTGGACTACTAATACATAAAAGATCAGGGTGGCTTTTTGTTGTTTTCTTTCCTCCCCTCCCTAACCTACCCATTTTAAAAGTGTATATCAATAATTTGCAGAGATTCTTTGGCTGCTCAGCTAGAGATTACTTTGACAAAAGCAGATTCAGAACAACTTGCCCGTTCCATTGCTGAAGAACAGTACTCTGATTTGGAAAAAGAGAAGATTATGAAAGAGCTGGAGATTAAAGAGATGATGGCGAGGCATAAACAAGAACTTACTGAGAAAGATGCCACCATAGCCTCAGTGAGTTACATGATCTATAATTTGGGTTGAGGTTGTATGTAAGCTTTATTTGCAGTTTGAGTTATGCATTGCTCTTTAGCAGTTTTGGGGATACACAAATATACCTAATGTTTTTAAAGTAATTATTTCTTATGATTGAAATTCAAGAATCTATTATTTTGTTTCATCCATGCATTTCTCTGGCCATTTCTTCTCTGCCCCTTCCCCTCTTACAGCAAGTCCTCTTACCCTCATCCTGGTCTCACTCTGCAGAATTTCCTTCTGTCTTCTAATCCAGCTTTGTTTGCCAAATAATGAGTTTTGTCACATGTCCTTTTTTTTTTTTAGTTGGAAGAAGCAAATAGGACACTAACTAGTGATGTGGCTAACCTTGCTAATGAGAAAGAAGAGCTAAACAATAAACTGAAGGAAGCACAAGAACGTATGTAATCTCTGAACCAAATGTGATTTAAATTGAAAATAGGTTTGTTCTTTAATAGTACTATGTGTGTTTGTCATGAATTTTCATAGATTTTCTTTTTAATTACCTTGCTACAGAAATTACAAAACTTAAAGAAGAAGAAGCAAATGTAGGAAATATTAAAGCACAATTTGAGAAACAGTTGTTGAATGAAAGAACATTAAAAACCCAGGTAAGCAAATATATTCAAATGCATGTAGACACTGTTCATGAATCAAATAATTTTTAATAGAATACTTTCTGTTATAAAGTATTGATATATACCAGTGTTACTTTATTTGGTTTTGCTCTGAAAGTAAATATATTGGGTTTTTTCTCCTTCTTCTACGTAGACTTTCAGTGTAGTGAAACTGGATCCTTATGATTCATAATAGAGGAACTTCTAATCCAGATGTATTTCACCAGCAAAAGCCTTCATTTCCGTCAAATGATTTGATATGTTACTGGTTTCAGTCTTGGTTTGCATACCTCTGCAAGTTCTCTAAAGACATACATTTCTGATTTTAATCTAGATTGTTTTTAGAACAAGTGGCATTTTAATACAAAGACATATTTTGGGTCTAGCTAGTGAAAATGGAAAGGATTATTTAAATGAGTAAAAGTGCTCACACAGCTAATGCTTGCTTCAAGTAAAAAGGGCATCAATACCTTCTTTTGTGTAATACATTGAATTAAAGCAAGCTTGTAGTGCTGGATTGCAGAGGTCTTAGTTTGTGCCTGGTTATAGACAGAGAGAAGACTTTATTTCTTCACAACATAATAATTTGGTTTTTGTCACTTTTTTCTTTCCACGGGAAGGCTGTGAATAAATTGGCTGAAATCATGAATCGGAAGGGTCCAGTCAAACGTGGAGCTGACACTGATGTACGGCGGAAGGAAAAGGAAAATAGGAAGCTGCATATGGAACTGAAGTCTGAACGAGAAAAGTTAACCCAGATGATGATCAAATATCAGAAGGAAATAAATGAAATGCAGGCAGTAAGATCCTTTTGTAAAAATAAACATTGCAGCATTTTTGTAAAATCTTACTATTGATACAGACTTTAAGGTAACATATTCAATCTCTATTTCTAACTTTTCCCAACACAGAATATATATTGAGATTGGGTACAAATTCTGCATAATTTTCTCTGAGTAATCAAATACTGTGATAATAGGAAATCTTGTGATTTATCCCTGCAGCAAATAGCAGAAGAGAGTCAGATACGAATTGAACTGCAGATGACTCTGGACAGCAAAGACAGTGACATTGAACAGCTTCGTTCCCAGCTGCAGTCACTGCACATTGGGCTGGACAACAGTAGCATAGGCAGTGGACCGGGAGAGGCTGAGGCAGATGATGGATTCCCTGGTATGTTAATTTTATTAATATTTCTGCGTTAACTGGGTTTATACCAGTGTTTTTCCATAGAAACTGGAGTATTAAATTGATGGTCTGATGATTCTTCATCTATTCGTCTTCATCTATTTCTACCATCTTATCAATCCTTTGATAGTGATCACTTGCTCACCTGCTAACTAAATCTGTCTGTTGAAATACTTCACCTTACATTTATTTAAAGAAGTTTCTAAATTCTGTTGTACTCCATTAGAACTAAATATTTTTTTCACTTTATTTTGGTGGTTACTTTGCAATTACTGTGTGTATGTGATAAAATGTAAAACTAATATTCTCCTAGAGATTCTGTTTTGACTTCTTTTCTACTTTTCCTCCTTTATGCTTTATGTTTAGTCCATATCACTCAATCCCACACTATGGAATCCATGTCCTTTACCTATCAGCACTCTTCTACCTCTGTCAGTATTGCCACTAAGCCTTCCAGTTCTCGCATGCTTCTTGATTCCGATTCTGACTCAGAGGAAGAACCTTTGTCTTGTTCCCACAGCCCTACAGAAGTTGATAGCACAGGTGACATCCCTGAGAGTTTGGTTTTGTTCTTTGTCATTTTCTCTGTTTCAGAACTAACACTATTAATACATAATGAAAGAAACATAAACCAAATCTGGCAGATAACATGCTGCAGCAGCAGGAAACATTGCCATCAAAACATGAGAAGATTTGCATGAACAAATGACTGGCCTGTTTTCTCTAAATGTTTGCAAATGCTTGCTGACAGTTATAAACCCACCATGTTCATTGAGGCATTGAATAAATAAGCCTTATGGCTTGTTTTCAAAATAGCCTCTACGCAGTATCTGCAGCTCTCTATATGACCCTAAGGTACTGGACACCAAAACTCAAATCTTTTCATTTAAGTGTGGAAACATCTAACTCCTCACATCTAAACATATATGATTTTCTTGTAGAAATTAATTGTCCTGAATATTACATTGTTTTACCTTAAAAGTGTATTATGAGTGATAAGGCCCTGTTTTATTAATTCTTATATGACTACATTTTATATTAATTTTATATGACTACACATACACCCTTTTAACAAAGCTTCTGTTTGGTGTTAATGTTAGAAGTGGGTTTTTATAGCATTCAAATTTCTGTATTTCACATGAGGTTCCTTTAAAGTATGAATACCTTTCCATTGAACATAGAACCTCTTTTGGTATTTTGACATTACTTCATCAAACTAGAGTAAAGAATAATGCATTTCCTCTCTTCTTCTCCTCATTCTCTGGGTTTTGCTTTGAAGCTTCTAATGAAAGAAAACCTACACACATACATATTTTTTTCCTTGTTAGCTGCTGTTGTGGTATGTGCATGGATTTGCTTTGTTCTAAAGTAAAAATTATAGCTAGGATGGGATTTTTTTCTGACATAATTACAAAAGATTTGAGGTAGGATAGTGTCTTCCGTTGTTTCTCCTCTCCTAGTGTTTATAAGCATGTATTTTGAGAAGTTTGGAATTTTCTGCCCTTTTTCTGATCTGTTAGTATTGAATGGACACTAGAAGTGAAGAAATATAATGAGAAGCTCTCATTTTACCTAATTCAATATGTATTTCAGGTTACAGAGAAAAATACAAAAATCATATTTTAGGAAATAGTAGAAACATGCATTTTTTTTGCTCTACTTGTGCCTCCTGAATATGGGTAGACTATTTTTTTGCATCAACGTTATGCTTGTTACACTTTCTATGAGGTGTAGTTGAAAGGAACAATATAAGGTGGCAGGTATGAGGCAAAACAAATGTTACAGAACTGTTTCATGTACTTGATATGTGTATTAAAATAGGCCACCAGCAGCACTGCTGATAGGACTATAAGCATTGAAGACATTCACAGAAAGAATTCTATGAATATCTAGTATCTAGTAATTATTTGTTACACTGTGTTAAACATGGGCAGGAGCCTGCACATGCCCTCTGATGAGAAGGAAAATAGTTTTTGTAATTTTGGAGTATGTTTCTGCTTGTTTCATGGTTTTGTCTTTGTTAATGCTTAACACTTCATTATTTTTGACTTGGAAGTTCCTCAGCAGCCAGTAGAGGTTATCTGCTAGGGTAGGAAACTCAGTAGAAAAATACTACCGCAATTAAGTATTTCCCCTTAATAAAGCATAGGGAGAAGAAAGACTTGTGTTACATGCAGCTACAAAAATAGGGTGGAAGGGTATGTGATCCTGTGTATTACCAAGCACTGAGAAAGTGTGATCCTGTTGAGCTTTTGGTGACTACTGAAATGTGTGTGTCAAACAACAGCTGAGCTCTCCATACTCTTTATAAATCAAATCTGACAAATGTGCCAGTGTAATATAAAATACTGCAAGCATGTGAAAGGGCAGTTGAGTTTAGGCAAGGCCTAAAGGTTAGCCAAAAATTACTTATTTTGGATTAGAAAGCCTAGGAGATACAGGCAGAATTAGAGAGAAGAAAAATTTACAGACCAAAAAAGTATGAATTAGAATGCTAAACTGACATTTTCCCCAGCACATAGGGTATATAGGTTATTTGTGGTGGTAATTTGACTTTTTTTTTGGTCTTGGATTGGATATTGTGTGGTCTGTACTAATATCTTTAGGTGCTGTTGTAAAGGTAACAGTCAATAGACATAAGGCTTTTAAGACTTGAAAAAATTACTAAAGAGAATGTGTGTGCTATAGTTGCAAGTTTGTTCTTCTCCTTCCTCCTTGTGTCTACTACTTTGTTGTGATTGCATTGCTGGTTATTGGCTGTATTCAGTGGTACATTATTTAACATATTCCTGAACATTTGCCATGGTAAACTTTACAAGATCTCATACTGTTAAATAGTTCATCTTCTCATGTTTGCACTCTTGCTTTATTATTGGTGTTCAGTAATTTTAAAATGCACAGTGGTCTCAGAATTTGTTGTGTTTATTCTTTAATACCTATCTCTTTTTCAGAATCAAGATTGGAAGGCTGGCTATCAATGCCTGTTAGAAATAACACTAAAAAATTTGGATGGGTTAAAAAGGTAAGAAAACCAGATTTATGATTTTGTTTCATGCATAGGTTCGACTTTAAACTTAGTGTAGGTTTTCAGCACTTCAGTTTTTCTATGTGTTCTCTCTTTACTTAAATGTATAAAATATGTTAACTGGTAATCCTGCATCTGAGAGGAGCAGCTTAAGACAATTTAATAGTTTAAGACTCCTCTTTGTATAGCCAGAGGTGAGAACAGTCATTCATGATCTTCAAATGTTTATACATGCCATAAGCATTCCCAGCAGTATTACAGAGCTGGAATTAGGCAGAGTCTGGAAACAGGTACTCTTGACAATTTCTTTATTTAGGAGATAAGACTAAAACCTACTCCTCCTGCCTTGTGCAGCCTTCATGTTTGCTGCTTCTCAGTAACCTCTTTGATGAGATTTTGTCCAAAATGTAACATACACGTTTTTGTACAAATTTCCTTACTGCTGCCATGCAGTTAATTCTTGACAAAATTTTGGAAGCAGAACATCTTTTAGGTAATTAGCTTTTTAGTGAAGATTGCTAACTATTCTGGTAAGTATAATAGTGATCTTTTAAAGTATGATTCCTGTTAGTTGTCACCTGCACACATGAAATAGGCAGAGGATGACAGTTACTCTCTCTACCAGTCCAAGTGAAAATTAAATCAATGAAATAGAAAGGAAAAGCTTATATCTTATTCTTCTGGCTTTCAGTTTTGTTTCTTCATAGATATTTAAATATGTTTAAAAATCAGTTAATCTGATAATACAACTTCATTTATCAGGTAATCAGAATCGTGTTTGTTATGCAATGAATTCCTTGGCATTGACTTAGTATAAAGTACTACCATTTTCCACTTAGGTACCATTTAATCAAATTGTACAAAAATATTGCCACAACATATGTGATAGAGAATTGCTGTGACATATTTGACATCTGTGATGAGCTGGATTAAAACATGTTTTATCCTTTTGTCTCCTTACAGTATGTAATTGTAAGCAGCAAGAAGATCCTGTTCTATGACAGCGAACAAGATAAAGAACAGTCTAATCCCCATATGGTATTGGATATAGAGTAAGTATTGCCATGTGTGTTTCCTTCTTCTGATTTGTAGGTGAACTGTTGGGAAGACCTGTGACCAAAGGGCCTTTTGAGGTCCAGTCTGGGGGCACAACATCACATGAGACATAACATTTTTAATCTGAACTGTAGAGGCTGGACCCAGTGTGGTGCAGAGTGGGGTTTGCTTTAGGCACTGGTGCAGGATGAACACTGTGGTGCTCAGACTGATCCAGAGAGCTTCCCTGAGCCCTCGTGTCACTGAAGTGCCCCCACTAGCTCAACTAGACCTTCCTCACACACACTTTTGAGCAAAGCATGTAATGAAAGCTGTAGCAGAGCAGATACCATTTTCAGTGTTTATGTATTTTCTCTGACAAGATGGCCTTACAAGTGGGTTATATAGTTAATTTATTTTCTTAATAAATGCAGAATGTGGCTATTCAGAGCATGGGGACAGGATTGTGTTAGAAAGATGACAGCACATGATGATGGTTTCTCAGTGCTTCTGCAAATATAGCTGGATGCTTGTGACTTCTTTGTATTTAGGGTTTTTGGGAGTTCATGTGCAGGGTTGAAAGACAGGGTTTTACCAAGTGATTGGAAATCTGTACAAATTTGACTAATCTTCAGTGGTTCCAAGCCTTAAATGTGGAATGTTGTATCCTAACTTAATCCATCACATTTGTCATTGTGGTAACATTAATTTTGTCCTTATTAAAACAATTTCTTATAGCAAGCTCTTCCATGTCCGACCAGTCACTCAGACTGATGTGTACAGAGCAGATTCCAAGGAAATTCCTAGGATATTCCAGGTATTTATTAATAAATTAATGTTTCTAGTGTAACAGACATGGCATTTCAGACATTGTCAAAAATATTGTCTAATGAAATAGTTACTAAAAAATCATTGAAAAATCGTTCCTAATGTACTTCTTCAATCTTTGTATTTAGATAATGACTGTGAATTTATATTTGCCAACTAGGAGTATTGAGATTATTTTGCTTTCATTCTAGATCCTATATGCTAATGAAGGAGAGAGCAAAAAGGAACAGGAATTTCCTGTGGAGCCCATGGGAGAGAAGTCAAATTACATTTGTCACAAAGGACATGAGTTCATACCTACTCTTTACCACTTCCCAACGAATTGTGAAGCTTGTATGAAGCCCCTGTGGCACATGTTCAAACCTCCTCCTGCTCTGGAATGTCGCCGCTGCCATATCAAATGTCACAAAGACCACATGGATAAAAAGGAAGAGATTATAGCACCTTGCAAAGGTAAATAGCAAGTATTTGAATATGCAGATAGTGCTGGAGTCACAAGGCATTCTGATAGATCAGAGGATTCTAGTAATGGTCTGACACCAACTAAACATAAAGGTTTGTTTCTCTTTTATTAGTATGTGGCCATCAGCCCCTTTCCAAGAGTGTCTCCATGAGGGTCACTCTTCTTTGAGTTCATGACACGTGGCTGTGGTGTGCATGTGCCTGTTGTGTTGCCATCCTCGTGCAGCAGAGCATGGTGGTTGTCAGGTGCTCACACTGAGTGTTGTGCTCTGCTGTGGGAGACAACAGCGCTATGGAAGGGGTTACATTTGGTGAAGGCTGCTCCTTGTGACTCAAGGTTATATAATTTCTTAGTCTCTGTCACACCTCTTCGCATTACCCGCGTTTTCTTCCACTTGAATGTGTATCTTCCACAGTACTAAGTTGTTACTCTTGAAATACAAGGAGTAGGCACTGTCAGCAGACAGGAAACCTACTGGTTCATTTTAGTTTTGATCTCTCTGCTGATTCCTCTACTTCAAGTATGAGAGTATGCTAATCTGACAGCTAATTTTTGATGTGGGGCCATGTTTAGAATAATAAAGATACTAATTTTTATTTTTAAAATCTTATTACAGTGTACTATGATATTTCTACGGCAAAGAATCTACTACTGTTAGCTAATTCTACGGAAGAACAGCAAAAATGGGTGAGCCGACTGGTGAAAAAAATACCCAAGAAGCCTCCAGCACCAGATCCCTTTGCTCGATCTTCGCCCAGAACTTCCATGAAGGTACAGCCGAACCAGTCCATCAGACGACCAAGTCGACAGCTCCCTCCAAACAAACCAAGGTGACACAAGAGCTGCTATTTAATTCATTGTTCTGAATGTTTTACTACAATTAGTTTCAATTTCTTATTCAGGGTAGAAGGACTCATGCTAATGTATCATGATTCCTAATCAGATTCTTCTGATTGGGTAAAAATTGCCCATACAAAAATTGTTAGTTTTCTTCTGGATCACTTCTGAGGAGCAGAATCCTATCTGCTGTGCTGTGGAAGTTGATAGCATTCTGCAGGTAACATTTATATGATTGTGCAGGGCAGAGTTTCTGTTTTTTTTCCAGTTTGCGTTTTTCATCACCTGCAGTACTAGTTTATATTTGTTTATGTCAGTTCTCAGTACTGGCAGCCTGTGAAAAGGTTGGTCTCAGTTATTTTGTTCATTGCAATATTCCAGTTTGGCAAAGATTTAACATTTTTCCCCAGAGAGGTAATTTGGCAGTGCCTAGATGGGATTGCTCTCCTTTTTTCTGTGACCAGACTGGCACAAGTATCCCAGGTGGTTGGGTGAGACCTTGGGCTGGGTGAGTGGACAGAGGTACCATGGAGAATGCAGGGAAACACACTCTTGCTGTGATGCTGCTATTACCACAAAACATCCTTATGCTATGAAGGATCTTAAAGAGATACTGGTATTTTAATGGGTGGAAATGCATAGTGGTGGAAGGACTTAGAGTAATTTTATTTCACTTCCCTCCCAACCTTCATACAGTCTAATTTTTGGTGATTTAATTTACATATTTTAAACAGAATCAGACCTCATAATTTGGATTTTAAATTAATAGATCTATTATAATCATGAAGAAAAAAAGCTTTTAAATCACTTTTTAGTGACCAACTATTGAAGAGTTTCTTTGTGCAAAAATAATCAAAGTATCAGTGATAGGACTGAAAGCATGAATCAGGAAAACATTCATGACGATTTGGGGAACAAGTAGATCACTTTTCTTCTGCATACTGTTTACAGTCTAACTTAATGGTATTACTCTGTTTCTTGCTGTTAACATATAAAGGTATATAAATTCTGATTTTTTTCAATAACTATTGTTAGGTGTTCTGCAAATAATTCTTCTCCTTCTAATACAGCTTTTTCAGTCTTGAACTTTGGTACAAAATGCTTTCATAGCATAGTATTTACCATTATATACTGGTAGGAAAAGAAGGGGGCTGAGTGTTTTTGTGTGTAAAGCACTTCATTTTAAGTTTCCAAGTTAGCCTCACAAATGTACCTAACAGATGAAAAGTGTAGCTTTGTGAGGTCATGTCACCTATTACCAGAATAATGCAGGTCTGTCAAACCAGTGGGAATTTATATGGATTTAAACACATTTAATTAGAAACCACATACTCATAAATATTGCTACGGTAAATTTATATCTCAGTGTTGCTTCTATGAGGCTTTTGTGCAAGTGCTTACCATATGAAATAATTAATTTTCCTTCATGAACTATGTTAAGAATGAAGTTGCCAGTTCAATCTCGGTACTGAGCAGTAGGCCCTGGCAGCTAGGTTTGGGCTGGGGCTGCACCAAGAGGAGCACAGCTAGGTGACTGAGGGAAGAGATTATACCCCTCTCCATACACTCCATAGTCTGCAGCACAACACTGCCTCTACCTCTGAGCCCCCAAATTCCAGCCAGACATCAACACACTGGGGGAGGACCAGGCAGAGGCCACCAGGATGGTCATAGCAGATTCCTGAGGGAGCTGGGCTTGTTCAGCCGGATGATGGCCATGTCCAGGGCTCCTATGGCAGCCTGCCCCCCCTCTGGGGAGGATGTCCAAGAGACAGAGCCAGGCTCGTCAGTGCTGCATGGTGAGAAGCAAGGGGCTCACCTGAACCAGGAGACACTCCAGCTGGATAGAAGGAAAAGCCAATGCAGAGAGGGAGGCCACTGAGGCTGGACAGGCTCCATCCCTGGAGGCTCTCAACAGCTGACAGGACAAGGCCTTGAATATCCCGGGCTGGCTTTGTATCTGACCCTGCTTTGAGCAGGAGGTTGGGTTAGAAATCTCCTGGGGTCCCTTCCAAGCTGCCTGGTCCTACAAATGCTGTCCCTGCTAGGAATTTCACACAATGATGGTTTCTTCAAGGTTTTCATGGCTGTTTTTCTTCTTAAATCTGCGAGGATTTAAGAAAGGGCAAACCAGTTTTTCATACAGGACCATATAATTTCTGCTTAACCATTTGAGAAATGGCTAACAGATAATTCCAAATGGATAATTCCAAATTGAAAGAAACCCAATTTCAATGTATTTTACTTCCTAATAAATTGTTTAAGTGTAATAGCCATAGTTCATGTAACAAATGAATACTGAGCCTTTTCAGGGCTATATCACATTTAAAGATTTAAATAGTTTAAAGCCTGGAAATCCAAATTCCCAAGACCCATTTTGTTTAAAATGTGTGATTTACTGTATTAAACAATGTAGCATGTTTATATTGATGCTCTCTTAGGGTAAGGTTTCCATGCCTGCATCCTATGCTTGGCATACAACCCTAATTAGGATCCTTCCAGCTCCCTGGAGAAGTGACTAGGCTAGGTTTCATTTGTTGTAGCTATAGCAGTTGAAAAGTTAGTAGTTAAGATATTGCAACAGAAAGAGACAAGTGTTCCTAGACAATGATTCACCCCATCCCAAAATAAATGCCTCAGATAAGTAAAATGACTCATTTGCTGACAGGGTTTGCCTTGCTTGCCTTCTTTGTTCTATAGTGACCATACAAGGAGCAAAGACAGGGAGGCCTAGACAACAAGTCGATATATCCTCTTTTTTGGCATTGCTTAACTTTAAATAATGAGCTACAGAATAGCTTCATAGTGTAATCACCCTGTATTTGGGATACAGTAAAATCCTGCTATATTTGTTTATACATTCAGATGAAGTGCTATCTTATTCAGTGTTCTTTTCAGCACTCAAAATCACTTGATTTTATTGGAAAAATTGTTAGGTTTATATTATTGTCTGGAAGGGCATAGCAGGAGAGCATGAAACCACCACAATCAGCAAGAACAGCAACAAAACAGAAAGCAGCTAATTTTAAAAAAGGCACATGTTGGTGTTTCCTATTGAAATTCAGGAAAAAAATGAATATGGTAAGAATTCTATATTGAATGGAATGATTTTTGAGATGAATTTGCAATGAAAGCAATATTCTTAATTTAAATGAACACTAACTGAACCTTCATACTTGTAATAGGCAAAGGAACAAACCCATCTACCTTAAACAGTCTTTCAGTTAAAAAGGTTTAGTGATAGCAAAAGGAATTTTCAAGTCTTTTATAAAAGTATGACACTCTTTAAACATCAAACCCTCCTGTTGCAGATTACTTGATCTGGCATTTAAGGACTGGGATTGGTCCTTTGATGATGTTGATGATATTGATGGTGATGATGATGATGATGACGATGTTTTTGATTTCTGAAGAAGTATAAGGGGTAAATCTACATAGAGAGGAATGGATTTGTTTGCCTTTGAATACAGCATGCTATGTTGGATTTTGTTTCTCAAAACAGAGAAAATACAAGATCTCATTTTAAATTTTAAATAGAAAAATGAGATTCTGTTCATCATATTGAACTTCTAGAGGAGTCATTTTCATTAAAACACAGTTGTTGCCTTTGCCAGTGTTTTTATTTTTCTAATCTTAGATTTTTTTTTTCAAAATTCATGTCTGCCTGCCTGAAAAAAACCCCAAAACTTCTGTTTTCAAGGTCATTGCCCATCTCTAATGCTAATACTGCTAACCTCAGCATCGAATATTTGAAGGATAAATGGGAGATGTAGCAGTTGGATGTTCAGCTGAAATAGATTTGGTATTTACAAACACTTTTCAGTTTTAAGCTTTGAATATAAACTGGTCTATGGCTAGCAGACATGAAATCACTGGAGTTTTGCATTTTGCTTTTCTACCTCTGTTCTGAAGTGAATTTGACTTGGCTTTCCTTTGCAGTGCTGTGCTTTCTGCGTACCTAACCACGCATTTGAAAACTATGTAAACAGACGGGTTTGCAGCTTCCGTGGTGTGGTTCCCTTGACTGCTTTAGAAAGATCCGGCCATTGCAGTGATCTGATTTGTCCTATGGCTTAATTCTGGATGTATTGTGAATAGCTTTACCTGTTCTATAGACTTCAGGATCTGATTATTTCACACATTGATGCAATCTTATATTTACACAGAAAAAACCTAAATGTTAAATGGCTAAGAATTGTTTTAGACAGTATGCAAGATGTATCTCAGCTGTATAACAGTGGCACTGGGGCAGCTCCTCTGCTGTGTGCTCAGGGAACTGAGGAACAAGCTCCTGCAGAACTTAACTGGCTTAGTGTTCACAGTAATGAGCATTATGTTAATTAAATATACTGCATCTTTGTGTATTAAAAGTCCACTGATTACTAATCTTTTAGAAGTAACTATTACACTGTGCATATTGTACTTCACCCTCATGTATTGCAAGGGGGTTTAATTGATTTGGAATTACAGTGTGCAAGGATGTGCAATACTGAAGTAATGTTGCTGTTGGATGCAGAGGAAAGGTGCTTCTCTCAAGTACAGTGATGAGCCCATCTTAAGGGAAGATTTTGAACAAGTATTTATTGTCAGATTTACATTTGTTGCATTTACTGACCAAACTTCCTGCTTCTTTTTCAGCTAACTGCTTTCCGTGAATGCAGACACAGTCAAGGTGATAATTTTCTTCCCATTACAGCAAGACTGAAACATATCCCAAAATATATTAAAAATATATATTTTCCTGAGAGATTGTGCTATATATATCAGAGGTTTACATTTTTGCTGCAATATAAATTACTAATCTCTAAGGGTTTTCCTGTATTCTCCCAAGTGACTGATCAGTTGAGGAATGGTTGGTAAATAGTCAAAGGATATGTTAGGTAACCTTTTAAACTCTGTTCCACAAAAGCTTTCTTGGCAAGACACATACACTACATTTCATAAAAGGATCAAGAGGAATGAGTATTGAAATGGAAGAAACTGACTTTTCAGCTTTCATAAAGATGCCACCAGCACGTCTACAAGTAGAACCTGAGGAAGATCCACCATAGTGATATAGACTGCATTTGTGAGAAGTGACCATTAAACTGTGTATATATATTGTACTGTAATACTGCAAGAGGGGTTTAAAAATCTTTCCACTTTATTTTTTTATGCTTATTAATCAGATACCGTTACTTATTGCAGTTGCAACTATGCACTTGTATAAAGCCATAATGTTGAAGTTTATATCATTCACACACATCTGTCAGAAGCTGCATGTCAGTGTTCAGCAGCTAGTATAGGTTTGAAGTATATACTAGTTTCAGCTACATCATCATGGGCAATCCCCTTTTACCTGTCTAATTGCCTTAATTTAAATTTTTTTCAAGGTTTTTTTGCCCATTCTTTCTGTTTAAGGAGAAAGAAAGTTTACCAGCTCTTAGGATGCAGTTTTGCTTTGTGGCAGAAAAAATAGTGCACTATTTTTACACCTATTAAGTATATCAGTGTCAACCTATTTTGAATGTATATCAACTGGTTTTAAGGGTGGAGAAGTGTTGGTTACAGAAACAATGTCTGAGAGCATGGGATTTACCAGACCATTTGCTTGTACATGTAACTGCTCATCCAGCCCTTTTTACAAACCTCAATACTAGTTATTGACTTATATTAACCCTCATTAAGTGCTATGAAACTTCATTTTGCCTTGTTTTTTACATACTCTCCTAGATGTGTTTTGTTGGTTTTTTTTTGTTTTGTTTTGTTTTGTTTTTTTCTGGAAAATAAAAGAATCTGTGACTGTTTTTACATTTCACAACACAATATCTGAGGACTGTCACAAACTTTAAGAAAAGTGAAACATACTGTAGATGTATTTTAAAGTTTTAATCTGGTTCTCTAGCACATAGCTGTAGGTATAGGTAAATAATTCAGTAGTGTGTTTTGAGAACTGATAGCTGGGAAGAAAGGGCCTCAGAGGCACTTATTCTGACTTTTTTTTTTTAACTTGGAGTTGTACAAAAAATATAATATATATGGGCTCATTCATGATGTGTTCATAATTATCCCAGAAAATGCATGTTTTATACAACTACAGTATGTGATGTTAAACATATTGACAGTAAAAAATGTAGTCTCCTATTTGGTCTCTTTAGATATATATATAAATATATATATATATTTAGAATATATATATATATAAAAAATATTGTGTGGGAGTGCAGTAATTTAAAATATGATCTAACACTTCAATGAAGGAGGACATTTCACTTTAAAATTTTGTTTGTTTGTTTTTGTTTTTTAAAGAGTGTTGAAATGTTGGAAGGATAGGACCATGTTTTATTTAACACTATCATGAAAGGTGGACTTGGAAACACTGAAATACTGAAAATTAGTAAATATATTTACATTTTGTAACCTCTACTGCAGTTCAGCTTAACAAAGCAAGAATGTATTTAGTCTTCTATTTATGTGCTCACAAAGTAAAATGTTCTTTGTGAGTTCTTAAATTCAAAACTAAAACTATCATGTCATTTCTGTTAGGTATTGTAACCCAGAGCACAACTACAGTGGTTTTTCCCTGCTTGTTTTGATTTACAGAAGTACGGTATATTTTTAGATAATGCAGATTTGCATAGAGTACAACATTAAAAATGTATACAGTAAAACTGTTTCCATTCACTGAATGCATAAATATTTTATATATATATAAAAAAATGTTACATTGTGGGAAGTTCTATCCTTTTCTGAATTGGAGAATATTATATATATATATATATTTTTAAATAAACTATTTGAGTAAGGTAAAATAGTTCCTGAACTTGAGAAGCTGGTAATTAATTGAAATATTAAAATATAATGATAAGTACTGCAGCAGATCTGGAAAGGGTGAGGGCTGCTCCAAAGACAGTCCAGCAAAGCCTGTTTGTACAGAGGAAGAGCAGACTCTGAGGGAGCTGTTTGGCAGCTCCTCCTCTGCTGGGGCTGGATCTTTTGCACTTTCTCTCGCTGGTTTGCCCTCATTTTCTGCGAATCCACAGGGCCCTGCTAAACCTGGCATTTTAGGAAATGTACTATATTATAGTATTTGCTAGCCACAGTGTATAAATTCCATGCTTGTACAAGTTAGCTGTTGGTACAGCAGGCTGCACTGAGATGCAGTCGTGGAGCAGGACGGGCCTCGGGCAGCGCTGGGCTCCTGTGCTCTGACCTCTGCTCAGAGCAGAGCTACCCTGGCACAGCTTCCTCGGGGCCGGTGCTCGGAGGTGCACCAACCTCGCTTTGTACCCAGGACACAAAAAGCAGAGCTGCTCTTCTGTCCTTCTCCCTTATCCTGCTGTGAAATGCAAACACCTCTTTAATGCTAGTTCCTGGAGTTTGTGTTGTTTCCTTATTGTCTAGTGGTGACCTTTTAATATTATTGAGAGAAGGGCATGTTCATGAACTAAGGAGTATTTGTCTTGAAAGTCACTGATGTTACAATATTTTCTTTTTGTTACAGGCTTGTCCTAAGTAAACAGAACGTTTTTATGGCCTGAATGACTTACTTATAGAAAATTCTCTCATTGCAAGTCCTTAGTAAACAAATGGTATAGCCAAGCTGCATATTATTCTTCTGGAAAAACCAGAGGTCAAACTTGGAGCCAGAAGCTCAAGGCACTTGTTCGAAAGTTGCTCCTTAGTTCCCAATCCAAGAGCTCACCAGTACAGAAAGACAGGCAGACCCCATTGGAATTACCTTGTCAGGTATCAGAAAGACCTTTCTGCAAGATTTCCACTTCTGTCCTAGTTGTGTGCTGCAATTCCCTACCACTTTTGGTCCCTGCCAAAGTGCAGCCCCCCCACCGCAGCACTGCCAGCAATTCAGCACCGAATCTGCTTTTAACTAGAGGAAAGCTGTGGTGGTTCTCGTGCTTCTGAGCATGGCTGATGCTGTAACCAAAAACATGTCATAGCATCACAGTAGGATGTAGGACTTGGAAACATGCGAGGCTCAAGGATTTTAGCAGTGATAGGGACCAAATTTAAAACATCACTGAAATTTTGCTGCAGGTGTCTAAATCTCTTACTGCGTCTTGAAAACACTGAACCACCTACTTTTTGACAGGCATTCAGTGGCTCTCTGAAGGCACCAAGGCCAGGAAAGCTGCCACTGAAATTATGTGCTTTTTCTCTTTAGTTTCTTTTTTGTTTCTAATGTCAAGCAATCATTAGAAATGTGAGACTTTCTGTGTGTAATCTTACAATGTATTAGTTTCCCATCTAGCTTTGAGAGAAACATCCTTAGAAGAGAATTATATATTTTGTTCCCAAGTGCCTTTACCCATCCTGTACTTGTGAGGTTGTATTTGGGATGCTGCTGTGAAAAGAGGGAACTTACATGAAAACAAACTTCTTACCTGCATTGCTTGTACAAACCCTTAATCACCTTCTTATTCTGTTTTTGAGGCAGAAGAGCAAACAGTACAAGGTCCAGTTCAGTGAACTGGAGTATTTCAGTCTCTTCCACCTTCCTGGATAGTTTGCCTTGACATTCATGTTAAAATAATGATTTATTTTTTCATGTAATCATAGAATATATCAAGTTGGAAGGGACCTATAAGGATCATCGAGTCCAACTCTCTGCTCCTCACAGAACTACCTAAAATTAAACCATATGAATAAAAGCATGATCTAGACACTCCTTGACCTCTGACAGACTTGGTGCCTTTTTCAGTGCATTACAGTTTTTTACAAATTATCTCTGCACATAGTACACTTTAAATTGAAAACATTATTACTTATTTTTTAAGATGATCTTCTGAATCATTTAGGGTTCTATCAGAATCCCAAGGATCATAGGGTTTGCCTGCTGCTCTGAAGTATCCCTCATGAGGATGAGAAGGAGTCTTCTTTCTCCATAAACAATGTTATGGAGTGGTTCTGAAAATAAAATTTGTGTTCCATGTTGAATTTGCCTAAAAATTGGACAGGTGTATATACTTAGACATTCACATCTGAGAAATTAGGCAAGTCTACTACAGTGCACGTGGCAGAGAAGAACACTCAAAACACATCCTGCCTATTTCTCCCCAGAAACTACTGCAATGAATGGAAAATCTGTAACTGTATAAACAGCTCTAAGAAGTGGGAATGTAGAGAAAATAATGTATTGGCACACGGATACTAATTACCAGGTCTTATTAATGTAAATTGGAGTTTGGAATCTTTGCTACATTGTAGGCAGGAAGCAGTGTTTTATAAAGGTAAGAAAAGCCACATTACTACTTGGGTATTGGCAAGGGTAAAGCCTTGGATTTGACTGCAGCTGCTTTTGCTCCAATAATCTTGTAGAAGCTGCAAGATTAAAGTGATCTTTCAAAAGAAAAGTCATGGTGAAAGGTCACAAAATTTTAATTATAAGTGTATGTAGTCCTGATACCTTAAAGAACTCTGGAAAGACACATAATCACCCTGAAAAAAAGGGCAGAGAGTCCAATAATGTGTCCTTGCAGCCCTTACTTGTTGGAGGAGCTGCACAGAAATGCTTCCACAACTGCATAGGATGCTTCAGTCCTACCACTTCACTTGAAGTCTAGGCCTTCAGTGTTCAGAGATGTGTGCCTGCTTCTATGCATAGTCTTATATTGTCCCTGTGGGCCTCATGTCATGTAGTTCTTGTCATTTGTCATTACTCTCTGGGGAGTTTTTTTGCCCAGGATGCTCTTGCCACCACTTGGTAAGCCTGGCTATGCAGTGATAAGTACACCAGGCTTGTGAGATCACAGCCAGTCCTCATGTCCTTTGGATCACCAACTGCTTAGGCTTTGGGCACTGAATTGCCTTCAATATGTGCTACTTTTATTAACAATGAACTGGTAGAAACTTTGGAGTTACCTGAGATGTTAAGTCCCTTAATTTTTTAAGACTGAAGGAGCTGGGTACCCCACCTGAGCTCTGAGCCCCGTTTCATATTGGCTCACCTTGCACTGTCTCTGACCTCAACTGCTCCATTTTCTGGTAGGCTCTTGAAGCAGGTTTTGCAGCTGGGTGCAGGTCTGGCTGCAGCTTCAGGACTTGAAGCTGCTTGCTGGATCCCATGGTCTCATGTGTCTGTGTGATGTTTTCCAGCTTATTACAATCCCTGTGTCCTGGGGGCCACTGAGATTCAGTGGGATCTGTGTAGCCTTTAGTCCAGTCAGGAGCCATGGGGGGAAGCTCCCCTGCCAGCTCCATTCTGAGCTGCAGCAAAGGGAGTTATCTTACTGGAAGGCGAGCATCTGTGCAAACTACAAAAAAACAACAATGCTGAGAGAGGAAAATACCCACAAGCTCAGAGAGTCCATGAGGACTGTGCTGACAGTGCATTTCGTGGAAAAAGAAAAGTCTCACAAGTCAGACTCTTGAAAGACAACTCTACAGGATGTGTATATAATCAACTGTTCAAAGGTGAAAGAATTTCTCTCCAGTAATTAATTAAAATATGCTTTATAGAAGCCCAATTTGTGCTTTGTTAAGATTTACAAGACAGAGGGAACACTGAGACAGAGGATGTGTGTTATTCCATTTATGATTTTCCTATGGTGTGAGTCTTGGTACTGCTGGGCAAAGCTGTCACAAGCAGGAATCTTGTACATTCCAGAGCAGGCATAAGCACAGATGATTTGCAATTATAGTAAGGTGGTAAGTAGAATTGATTTTCAGCATGAAGCCATGTTACTACTCAGTTTGAATCAGAATCATCAGTAGCCAACTTAACTTGTCACATTTTAGGCTGGTGCAGGTTCTGTATTTTACATCATTTTCCAGAATACTTGACAGATAAAACAAGGTGTCTGCCCTCTTAAAGCTCCCTCCCTGCGAGTGAGTGATACCACATAATGCACAGAGGCACCTGTTTAGGCTTCTGACAATGTAAGAAAGTTGTAAGATGAAATAATGAAACAAAACAGTATGAACAAAATTGTGACAATTACTTAAACTGTTCTTCAGGTATCTCAAATTAAATTTAATCAAAACTATGATGTAAAAATCTTATTTTACCACTGGCCCAAAGATTTATTTTTTTTCCAAGACAGAGATAGTTGCCCCAAACTACTGCCAATGCAGAATGGAATAGCTGACACCTTTAACTTGAAAATGTCTGTATGTCCGTCTTGCCATTAGGCAGGAAACACCTGAGGGCGTTCATCAGGGCTTAGGTCTGTGAGGCTGTCAAGGTCTTGTAACTGGATCTATCACAAGTGATGATCTGTCAGATTCTTACAGTGATGTTCACTGTGGCTCCCAGCCACCTGTTTGACCTCAACAGCTGTCATCACCTAGAACTCTGAAGTGTCCGGGAGAACCCTGGCTCAAAATCCAGCAAATTAAATTTAGTACAAACCAAGAACTTTAGAGCATCCTATTTAAAGATTTTTTTTTTTTTCAGCTTCCTCACCTTCAAAAGTGAGACATCCTTAGACTATTATTAGTGATGAAGGTGACATTTCATGTTCTGCTTCATACATAAATATGAATTTCAAGTATGGAAGAATTTGGAAGAGAGTGGAAAAAACAGCCTGAAAAGAATTAGGAGGGAAATCATTATTATTTATCATCAGGGAAAATACATGTCTGGGAAACTACCTCATTTCAGTTATCTCCACATCTGTGGAGTTTTCAATTATAATAGTTCCTTGTGTGGACTCAGCTGTTATTTCCTATTTTTATTTTCTCTCTATTACATATGTCACTAAATGGATGATTGTGGGGTGGAGGAAGAGTAATTTTACCTCATTAAAAGAAGTGAGTGAAGGTGTTCTATAAGACAGGCACCATTCAGCTAATTTTGAATTACTTTATCCAGAGTCAAACTGCACTAAAATCCAGCTCCCAACCTGCAGCAGCTGGGGGCTGTCACTGCCTCCCCATCTCACTCCTTTCTCTCGTGTTTCAGTAGGTCAGATGAGCAGAGCCAGGAGCAGGAGCAGCCACGTGCACAGTGTAAGGCAGACAGAGGCCTGGGGGTCAGGCAGGGACAGGGACTCCTGGGCAGTCCAAGCAATCACATCCCTTGCTGGATTGGAGCAGCACAAGGAAAGACATCTGTGTCCACTTTGCACAGAATGCCCAGTGGTAAGGGAGGCCCATAGGCTGGGGAGAGGATGGTTTTGAATTTGTGTTCCATGTTTTGTTCACTAAGGACAGTCCAAAAAAAATAAACTGTACACATCTTCACTGTCCACATCCATGTCCAGACCGGCAGCCTGCTGTCTCTGGACTCACATTCTTATTCTTTCAATAGTAAATCTTAGGGTAAATGTTTTCTGTCATACAGCTGAAGTGAGCTTCTAGCTTACCTGCTGCCAAATCCAGTCACAGTTCATCATAGCCACTGCTGGAGGTACTTCGGGTTATTTATTGGACTGTACTGGAATTCAGAGCACAGACAAGGAGACTCAGAGATTTGAAAGCCCTGGCGAGACACATACTTTGTCAGCCAGGGCAGGACAGGTTGTGTTACCTTGTGAGCATGTGAGAACTGGTACAATTAGACACCGAGTGTGTAATTCCACACTTGCACAGCATCTCTGAATCAAGCTGGGTTACTTCCAGCTCTGTGGACAAGAGCTACTTATTTGCTTACACCTCCTGCCATAAATCCAAGATGCTTTCCCTGCTTGCTTTTGCCCTGCTGCTGCATTACACAGCCAACGACCTCCTTGTTTCCGCCCCGATACTGGTGAATGATGAGTTTAACAAAATTTATCCTGCCTATGTATTTGTCAAAAGCTGTTGCCTTTAATCCAGCCACCGAAAAGATTATTCTTTACCTACTGGAAAACGCAGTGTCTGCGCTTTGATGGGCCTTGCCTGGAATTTGAATGTGCCTCTGTTTATGAAAGAAGTTATTCTCTGAGAGAGGAAAAAGTAAACTATTTACTACTAGTTTCTGATTTGTTCCATATCTCTTACAGCTTGAATGAAAACTCATGATCCAGCTTTCCAAGTCCACAAAAATTACTTTACCTTAAGTTCATTAATTACCCAGCTTTCTTTGTTTTCCTCAGTCTTTTTTTTCCCACAGATTTCTAAGGAGATTTATTCAAAATGTGTTAAGTAACCTATTAAGAACTGTTCTTAAATGCATTTTCAGTATTTTATGATAAAAAAACATCTTGAGGTGCTGATTCTCAAACCAAAAATGGAACAGCTTCATCTTGCTACAGCATCACTCAGGAGTGTAAAAGATGTCAATAATAGAGAGGGTTTGGGTTCCATACAAATCTTTCTCTATCAAGAAAAGGCTTTAATTAAAAAGCAAGTGTGCCGTTTTTCATTTTAAGATGCTGGAGCCCTTTAGCATTTGGCAGGTTCAGCCTGATGCTTCAAGTGTTAAGGTGAAAGCTGCCCATTTATGACCTGTAATGAATATTTCATTTTCTCTCCATATATGGAAACAATAAAAATTAAAATGCAATGAAAATAATGACACTATCAATCTTTAAGAAAAGCATTTATTAGTATCACCTGGAAAATGTATCACATGGCATCTGCCACCATTTAGACCACTTCAGATACTTTACTCAGCTTTAGTAAAATCAGAATGTTTACAATTAATCTTTCAACCAACATAGAAAGATTTATACTTTTTATTGGAGCAGTACAAAAAGGTCATTTTTGACTTTGACTTGCTCTCAATGACATGGGATACATGAAATCAATGCCCACAGACACATCTCTTCCCAGCCCTTCCCACTAAAATTTAGAGTATGAGGTAGCTGTTTTCTGATGGTAGATGCTCCAATTGCTGTGTGCTCACTGGCAAAACATCTGCTTTTGCAGATCCCATTGCTCCACAGCAGACACACAATTTAGAATGTTGCAAAGAAAACCTGCCTCAAATGAAGTCAATGCAATCTTCCCATAGTTTTCAAGTGTGTTGGGTTCAAGGGTGCCTAGGTTTTTACATGCTAATCAACAGAATACCATAAGAACTCTTGGAATGTTGTATCTTTTAATTTTGGGGAATGTAATGACAAATTAAGGCAAGCTATATGATTACTAATGTAACTTTTGGTTGTGAAGGCAGTACTTCCAAAGCCAAAATCCTCTGTTAATAGTTGTCAAGAATATCCTTTCCCCCTTTTTACTCTAAGTACTACAAAGTGATTAGAATTAAAAGTTTAAGTGAAGTATATGTTCTTCAACTCACTTAGCACTGACAGGCCAAAAACTCGAGAACCACCGAGCACAAATGAGCAAAACCTGGCAACCACAGGAGATCAGTCTGCTGAGATACATCAAGGTGCACATGTCAGTATGAATGGTGTTTGGGAATTCTGGTTATCATTCCAGGAGCTTTGGCTTGAGCAGCATTTTTAACTGTTGGTCAGAGTTTCATTAATTCCCATACATTCTAGTCCCTGCTGTTCCCAAAAGAGTATGTTCAGTGAATGAGAGCTCAGGTTGAAAAATAATTCGTAGTTGAGTTTTTGCTCTTTTATCCAATAAAAACTGGGTATACTGAGGAAAGTGACTATGGGTATCCTGTATCAGCTGTATAAATTGTACTGTTTTAAGTGTTGCATGTAAGTGCTACAATCCCAACTGGATTTGTGATTTAGTAATTAGAATCTTATTCTGGATTGGGCCTTGGCTCAGATTTTCATCCTCAAATACAGACAGTTAATGTTGAACTAATTGAGTTGCTTGCAAGAAGACAAACTTTTGGTGTGGTTTTTCAGTCTTGCAGCAGGACGAGTCAGTATGTTGGTGCAAAATTGATCATGTATAATTGAAGAAAATTGCTTATATGTAACCAGAAAGAACTGAAGTGATACCAGAATATTTATACATCTAACTATGAAATACCTTGTAGTAAAAAAAATCCAGAGAAAATGTGATATCAGTGAAACTTGTCTGAAATGACTAATAAAAATATGCTGCTTAAATTAAGTATCTTATCAGAATTATTTCTAAGAGAAAGTAAGCATGGATGTCCTATACTGTAAGTCTGTAAGTACTGTAAATACTGTAAGCATGCTAAAGGGTAAATATTAGAGAAAGAGAGCTTCCTCAATCTTTGAAGAATTCTTAAATTCTTTAGGCTTAATTACATTTTTTATGGTAATGATATGTGTGCTGATGAGTGTCTTCTAATCAGTCTTTTTAGTCTTCCTGTAGTGCAGGATTGTGGCTGTGACCCAAATATTGAGAATGAGCATGACTATGAAACGGATGAGAACTAAAAGAGAAAAAAAATATTGTAAGCATAAATCAAAAAAATCAACTACTGTTACAGCACTGGTTTGTAAACTTTTGCTGGTGTACAGACAGGCTGGTTCACATTCAGAACTGTTTTCAGCCAATTAGTTTCAATTACCATGTTCAGGAACCCACACATTCTGAGCATGAATCCAAGAGAAAACAGCATTTAGCACTTGATTACTTTCAGAGATAGCTCAAAATTATACACTCCAGTACCTTTAATTCTTTTGTAACCTGATGAATAGTACAAGCATGAGAAGCCTCATATAAATTTATATGTACACCAAAAGTTAAATTCAGAGTCACAGCTCACATGTCCTTTATAGTTGCACATGTTATTTATAATAAAGGAACTACTTTCAGCTGCCATCTCTTAAGTTTAGACTTCGAGAAGACAGGAGATACTTGTATCTGTCAGACTTTAATGGCAGAAAATCTGACAACTGACAAGAAAGCAGTTTTTCAGTACCTGGTTTATTCAGCTTTAAATACCGTAACAGCATAGGACCTCTACTTGTAAGAAGGTATTTAAGTTTAGATATGTCTGATGTCCATTTGGTAGGTGGAATATTCAGAAATGTAAACAAAACCTTGTTTCAGAACTCTGTGATACCTGACTGTTTCCTATGTGTCGATGTGTTCAGTGTTGCAACTTAATTGGAAATATTTTCTATTAGAGCAGCACAGCATCAATGTTTGCTGCTGGCCTTTCCACGTTCCAAAGTGGATGGTGCTGTATTTCAAACAGCAGCTTTACCCAGCGCTAGCTTTGCTTTCCTGGTGTTTCCTCCCTCCCCCTCAGTGAAAATCTGTAGCTGTGGGTGGTGTGGACTCAGTACCTGACCCTGACTAAAGCCCTGCCATGAGCATTTTGCCAAATCCTTGGTGACCAGTTAACTGCACAGCCCCACAAACTCCTTATCTTGGCAAAGAAAAAGCAGCAAGCATGGGGGTGGAAATGTGGGCCAGAAATGGGATTTCCTTTCCCAGTAAAAGACCCACTTGAAATGCTTGCAAAGCTACAGCTTTATTGGGCTGCAGAGGCTGCTTAAAAACTACAAAATCCATTCAAGTGATGTTTCTGATGAAATACTTTTGAACAAGAACAAGGAACCACCAGATGAAGTACAAAGGGATTATTACTGTTCTTGCATCCACCAAGCCTTGATTTTGAACAATTCACGGAAAAATCAGTGACACTCCCTAGCTCTTGCAGTTTTGAATGAAAATGAGCTGTCAATAAGTGAAATAATTATTACTTGAAATTCTCATTCAATTACTACAAGATTTCTTTAAGTTATATTTTACTACATTCATTTATTTATTAAAATAATAAATATTTTTAATACTTTATTCTGTTATTTTCAGAATTAATTTTGTGGTGCTTTTGCTTTTTGAAAAAAAAAAAAGTCTTTTGGACCAGTTGCACCACATGACAAGCATAAGCAGTTTTCTGGCTTTTTTTCCCTTGATGTCTTTGCCTGATTTGTAACCCTGTGTAACTCCTGCCCTTACCACGCCAACCTATCACATTCGTGGTTTGTTCTTGTGACACCGTCTAGGTGTTTTATAAAACAACTAAAATCTGTGGCAGCTGTTCCCTTGGAAAGGCAGAGAATTCCATACTTCACTCACCTGCGAGATCATTTGTAGTCATTACAGTTGTAATAATTCTTGCTGTAAATTGAATGAATGCTGATTAGTGGAACACATAGGACACATTTATACTTTTAAAAAATTATGAAATATCTGTTTTTCAACAGAAGATAATCTTGCATGAAAACATATACTATACACATTCCCACTTTTATTGCGTCCTCTCTTCACTATTTTGGTTTCAGAGATCAAGCTCTCAAAGCTGACTGACACTATATTAACAGTCTTTTTTAATGAGAAAATCACAGATATAATAAGAACTTTTAAATCTATCATGCTAGACTGGACATGGTCAGTTTACTGCTTTTCTTTCTGTTCAGCCCCTCCTTCAGGAGCTGACAGTCAGCTACACCCACAGTTGAGTTAGCATAACTTAACCATTGGGAATGTTCACGTGTGTGCCTTCAAGTTTTGCAAATACAAGGAATTCAGCTTCTCTTCCCACAAGGAACCTAAATGTTAATCATTTCACACCTGCAGCAGAGTAAAACCATTTACAAAGTTTACTGTTGCTGTTCACCTCAACTTCTAATTACTGACTTTTTTTTCATGTAGAAATAGATCCAGCATCACTGGATGATGAGTTTTATAGTGAGAATATTTTAAACGAGTTTTGTGAAGATGCAGAAGGCACTTCTAACCAACAGCTGTAGAACTGTTCATGCAGACCACTGGGGAATTGCCACGGGAACTCCAGAAATGACTGTTCATAAATTCTGTCAAGAAATGTAATTACGAGTAGCCATAGAGTTAAAGGTATTGAGCATTAAGTGTGTATTTATTTGTAGACAGATTTTCAAAACTAGCATTTTCTGACTGTATACCTAAAATTTTAGCACATTTTCATGCTGGGCCACTAGTAACTTTATTAAATCGTAGAACATGGAAAAATTTCCTCATAAAGACAGCCTTTCAGTTATTTAAATTCCAGTTCTCTTGGTCATATTCACACTGTAAGTCATTGGTTTTTATCACTGATGTCAAAGATAAAACTTTTTTCAAGACTGTGTGTTATCTGAGTTCCAGACGTCAGCATTGAGGGAAACTAAGTCAAGATCTTTACCTACTATGATTGAGTAAAGACCTATGAAAAAAGGAATCAGGAGAACTTAGTACTTTGCACCAAGTTGTCTGTAGCTTACTTGCAGAGGCATATACAGACATGCCCCAGGTCAGGGCACTCGCTTGTCCGGCGTCTTTGGTCTCCCAGAGGTGCTGCAGCTGAACCAGCTTACTGGCTGCACTGACCAATGTGCACAGATTCTGAAAAGCAAGTGGAAAAGACAGAGAACCCTTCTCATGGCTTCTGCCATGGTATTACCTGAATAGGAGTAGCTTTTTCATTTAGAATAAAAAAAAAAATTTACTCTTTTCCAGTGTTTGGCAACCCAAGTGCTTCGGCTTCTTAGTAAGGAACAATGAAGCAAAAACTGGAAGTAGCCAGAAACAAGGACTCATTTCTGAGGTACTGCCCAGCAAGAAGCTCAAAGAACTTCAACAGTTGCTACTGTTATTGGCAAACACTTGACAGAGGCAAATGCAGTAAGAAGCAAAGAAACAAAAAAAAGCTTCTCAACCTGCTCCATAAAACTGTTTATAAGTCAGCTAAAATGAGACTGACCTAGTCTAAACAGCAAGGTTGTTTCAGACCATCTGTTACCATTAGGTCTGGCAAACCAAAACATAAAGAAATGAGAAAACTGACAAGAATGTGTGGAAAATTAGTCCAATTGGAAGGAAAAAATAGTAACAGGAATGCACTGCTCACTCAGTCTCCCTTTTAAAGGGGATTTTGCAAAGGCAGCAGGTAGAGAGGATTCCACACAGGCATTTGTGCCCTGCCCGGATTTCTGCTGCAAGTAAGGATCAGCATAGGGCTTGGAAGCTTTTCTCCCCATCTGTATCCTCTCTTGTGTTAGCAGATCCAGTTCATCTCAATTACCTTTTTACTTTCTCTCTCCTGCTAAGAAATGATTCTCTTTAACTTTTGTGGGCATTATCAGATGATATTTTTCTTGAAAAACTGCATGACTAAAGGGCAAAAAAGAATTACATCACAATCCCTGTTTCAAACATTTTGATGCTCTATTCTCTTCCTCTTGTGTTAAAGGTTTATTGGTTTGGGGTTATGACATTAGGACTAAAACGGCAGTAGAATTTCAACATTTTAAGTATTTCCTAGTTTTAATTAAGGCATCACCAAGTAACAACTTATCTCAGGAAAAACCTTCCCCCCCCCCATAGAGCATCTACTTTTAGTGCCGTTTCCCAGCTACTCGCAAAAGAAAGAACCTGTATCTGAAAACTGGTTGGTTATTCTGAAAGCTGGCCTAAATGACAAATTCCTCCAAGGACATATGTTTAGGAGTAAGTCCACTAATAAATATTTCTAGAAAAAAGTCAGTTCATGTGAAGATCTAATTTCAGATAATCATGTAGCACTTACCATGGCCAGGTCTATTATCCACTTCTGCAGTGTCAGCATGTACCAGCCCCCCCAAAATCTTATATTATGTTAAGTTTCATAGTACTGAAAATTATAGGATACAAAGCTCTCAAAACTGCCTGAGGAATAAGTTTTTCTTAAGCATCTGGAAATAATTTTATTGAAACTTTTTAAGACTATACAATCCAGCTAAAACATATTAAGAACTGGTTGAAACACTAAGTGTTCCTATTTTTCACACCGTCTTTGGTCAAATAGTGTCTGGAGTTTCTCAAAACCTGCTTCTAAGCACAAGATTTGAGATTTAAACCCAAGTCCTATTTAGGAAAAAAACCCAAACACTGCTGTCTTTATTGTAGAAAGTACAACCTGCATGGACAGACAGGAATTAAAAAAAAAAAAAAAATCAATCTGTAATTTCTACTCTGCATCCCTGTAGAAAAGATGTAAATTAAGAATTTAGTTTACTCTTTACCAGTTGGGATCCTTCTAAAGCAGAGCAAACATATAAAGCTTACTTCCTGCAGAGATTTTACTGTGATCCCAGAAATCAGCATGTGAATGTGGAATACATGTTGAGGGGTGGGTGCCTGAGAATGATTTACAATAGTAGCACACAAGAAACGATGACATAGCTGCTCTACAAAGAACTACCAAACAAGCCACACAAACCGAAGGATACACAAGTGCATAGAAAAAAGCTCGTCTCGTTTTTCCACTGAAATGCATAATGCAGGAAAGTAGAATGACAACTGCAATAAACAAAAGATGGCTCATCACAGAAAGAACCGAAGGGGCCCAAACACAATCCTAGACCGTTCCACTGGGCACAAGCTCTGAGGAAACTCCTTTCTTACAGCTTTTGTCTCTCAAATGTGATTGATGACCAAAATTCTGCAAGCCCCAAAACAAGGCTTTGCCTAGAGTCTGGAGTGTTTAGTATGTTTCTCTCCCATGTGGAGAACCAGACAAAAGGATGAGTTTACACTGTTACTCTGTGTAATAATTGGGTTTTTCTCCTCTACCTGACCATCTCTTTCAATGGCATTCAAAATAACTCAGTTTTATATGAGATGTTAATTCCCTCTTCCCCCCAATTCCAGCATCACTGCAGTGGAACACTGTACCTACATGCAGGGGCTTGGAGGGCTGAACGAGCCCCATTTCATTTCCAAAACATGGCTTACAAAAATTACCTTGTCCAATGACGATGAGATACTCCAGGTATGTCTCCAGGGGGTAACCATAATAGATCTGGTACCTCAGAAACACAAGGAGGCTGAACAGAGAGATACAAAACATGACTGCACAGAGGGACATAAATGCCTTCACAGCTTTTATACTGTTTAGTGGTGCCAAAAGGTGCAGCCCTTGCTGTCAAACTGATCAAATAAAACACAGGCATACAGAGCAAGCCTGATCATTCTGTAATCTATTTCTGTTACCCTCACTGCCCACACTTCTCATCGAGGTCTTTATGTCACAGTCTGTAAGGCATCACTTTATTAATTAAAACTGGTGAGAAAGAAATAAAGGCCTCCAGACCTAGGAGATACCATCTCTCTCCAAAAGCCTTGGCACCACTAGGATAACTCTGATTTCTTTATTTGTGTCTGTAATTCAATTTATACATTAAAAAAGTTTTTTAGGGGTAGAAAATGTCTTCCAAGCTGTCTAGACTATACTGTTATTGCTCAGTGTAGCTCTACTGGTCAGACTAAGAGACTGTTTCTAAGTGCACCAAACTGGCAATTTTCCTTCCTGCCATTCCAAAATACAGTACCTAAAAGGAACTGAACTTTGGTTTTCTGTACTTCCAACTCTCCTGCAAGTCCATGGGGTTAGATAGAAAATTCAAAGCTGTATAGAAAACAGAAAGGACTCAGAGCAGTTTTACGTAAGAAAAAATATTATGGTTTCTGGTACAGAAAAATGGCAGAAGGAACAGCCTGCCTTGTAAGAAACTGGCTTTTACAGTATTCAGAATTTAAATATTTGGACTTCCTAGAAGTGCTATTTGATGTAGAGTCAAATCAGACTCCTAGCCACCAGCACCGTGCCTCTGTGTCACTCCTCACACCTGGTCACTCTATGTTGATTTCACAGAACCTGCCCAGTTTGTACTCCCTGCAACTGGATTCAAAGTCTTTAAAGATAGAAAGATAAATAGTCTACTAAATACAATAAATGTTTCAAAGAAGACCAGAACCTGTAGTTGTGTGGGTACCGTGGTTCTCACACAGGTGCTGAAGAGACATTTCCAGCTACTCCATGCTCATCTCGAACATTACTTACAAAGACTTTTTAATGCACACCAACGCACACGAATTAATGAAGTGCTGTCACCGCTTTTTGACTGAGGCTGTGGGGTCAGTAATCTCTGCTGGAACTCCAATTTGCTTCATTTACTCTGAAGTGCGTTAAGGATAAACAGCAGCAACACAGTTCAGTGCTGTAGAGAGAGGCGGGCGCGGAGCAGCGCGGTGGAACCTGAGGGATTCTCCTCTCCACGGAGAGGTGTCTGTAAGCCTGGGCTGTGGCCCTGCCTGGAGACAGGGCACGGCGCCTTCAGACACAGCACGCCGTTTTCGTGAGGGGATTTTTCCGGATGAAACCCCCTTTCCTAGCTTGGCACACACAGGGAGGTGGCAGCTACCCCGCTGGATGCTCTGCCCACCTCCACGCCCGGTTCGGACAACGCAGGGCTCTTCAAGGTGTTCTCGCACTCGCACAGCTGAACGTGCACACACCGCGTTTATTTACTTGTCGTTTCATACAATCCTCTTTAAGCAAGATTTAATAAGCCTAGCCCATGTAAGCTCATTACAGGCTCACAAGTCTTTGGAGTTTGACACGGCTTGTAATTTTCTTAAGGAATTATTTAAGTCTTACAGATTCGGGTGAGGGAAGCTTGTCCGACAAGTACAGCTACCTGCGCCACAGGGCACACGGGCCACTGAAAAACCTGAGCACAGGCTTACACCCTCTGCAGCTGCTGGTTCGGGGCTTGTTAAAAAAGCCGAGTTTCCCTTTAAATGTCAAAGCGGAATCCCTAAAACAGGAAGTTCCTCCCCGAAAGGCTCTGAGGGCTCAGCCGGCGGGGCTGGTCCCGAGCTGGGAACGGGGCGATGTGGCACCGCGGCCAGGCCGCCCCTCAGCGCAGCCGAGCGGACCCGAGCCGCGGAGGGAGGGAGGGAGGGAGGAAAGGAGGGAGGAAGGAATCAAGGAAGGAAGGAATCAAGGAAGGAAGGAAGGAAGGAAGGAAGGAAGGAAGGAATCCCCGTCTGCCGCAGCAGCCCCAGGGCGCCGCAGCCCCGGCCGAGGGGAAGGCGGCTCCAGCCGCTGCTCCCGCCGCAGGCCCCGTGCGCCCCCGCCGCTTTACCCGGCCAGCTCCAGGAGCAGGCTGCTCACGCTGAGTCCCCATGTCGAGCCGGCCCTCAGCACCGCCACCACCTGCGGCAGCTTGATCACGGCACACACGGCCCAGGTTGTCAGGTGCACCAGGTCCAGCAGCCCCGGCGCCATCCCGCCGCGGCGGCCCGGGCCGGGGAACCCGCGGGGCGGCAGGCGGGGAGTGCCGGGGCGGCGGCGGCGCGGCCCTCGCCGAGCGCCCGGGGCGCGGTCCGCCCTGCCGCCCGGGCCGCGGGCCGCCCTGCCGCCCGGCGCCCGGGCCGCGGTCCGCCCTGCCCGGGCCGCGGGCCGCCCTGCCGCCCGGGGCACGCAGGGAGGGCGGCCCGGGCCGTGCTGCCGAACCCAGGGGACACCCGCGCCGCTGGCTGGGGTCTCCGTGCCTCCGACTCCCTCGGTGACCGGGCCGAGAACCGCTCCGCTCCAGACTCGGAGTGTTGTCGGAATGCCTCTGTTACCATAAACATCCCCAGAACAGGGATGATGTGATGCCGTGCCGGCCGTGGGCCGTGCTCACCCCGAGCAGTGCAGTGCTCCGGCTTTGGAGCTGTAGGCTGGAGCTCGGTTTTCTCCCCCAAAGTAAGTCCCGACTGCTCCAGCGCCCGTGCCTTTCAGGTAATTCTCTCTGGACCGCTGTGGAACTAACTCCTGCAGCAAGGATCACACGGGTCTGACCGCAGCACTTTATTTTTACAAGGAAAATGTGCAGCAAAATTAAAAGTTGCTAAATGCTGGACTTGACAGATGATACCAAAATTAGCTGGAATAAACTTTCAAATGCAATTTGAAGTATTAGAAAGGAGGTATTGTTTACTTGTGCAGGACACAGTGGATTTATTCTGTGTCTGGAGTGAGACTTTATAGCAGGGTTTTTATTCATTATAACTATATACATTAAAACGTGCTTCTTATTTAATAAGCCATTTTCCTAGAACTAATTTGCATGCATTCACCTCTTACTGGAAGTTTATGGTTCCGGGGGTTTATTAAGAGAGATCTTTTGTGATTGTATTCACTGAATGCTTCAATATTAAAGGTGACTTTCCCTTGAAGATTTTCTTCGTGTATGTGCTGTTATTTCTTGTTACATAAAATTTGTTGAAAACCCTCTGTAGGCCTCCTTATCTGTTTCTCCACCGGTTCCAGCTGTGTTTATCATCCTGTGTGCATACATTTACATTCTTTTATCTTTTTTTTTTTTTTTTTTTTTTTTTTTTTTTTTTTTTTTTTTTTTTTTTTTTTTTTTTTTTTTTTTTTTTTTTTTTTTTTTTTGGCCAGTTAGCCTTTCAGCAACTTGAGGGGAGCTGAAAATTGTTATTCTTTAAGTTATTTATCACAGGTTACTGGAGATGGAATAGCTTCTCCAGAACATACACCTACCCACCATACACAGTTAGATACAAAACCAGTAAAGTTTTTGTACTTCTCATTTTGTCAGAACTAAATAAAGGTTATCCTAGGAACACACATTTGTACTGATTACGCTTGGACAGAATTTTCGCTCTTTTGTGCCTCCATATGGCCAGGACTGCTCAGACTGTCAAATCTACACCATTAATTCAGAGTTTTACCTAAACTGTAATTGCTTTAACATGAGGCATTATTCACGGGTATAACATTTCTTCTTTTTTTGTTTTAATTTTAATAAAAGTTGTATTTTACTATGGTCAGTAGTACTTAAAATGGCTTGAAACAGGTACATTGCATTAATTCTGCCTACCCTTGATGGTATTTTAAACCTATTTCTAATTCTGAATTTGTAAATCATGTTTCCCTTTGATAAGTCAGTCATAAAAGGAAGAAGAAGTACATAAAGTACTTCTTTATGTAGAAATACATGCAATCTCAAAACTCAGAAATAAATGGCCCCAAATACAATTCTTATGTAGAAACTGTGTTTCTGGTAATACAATTCAAAGTAATCAAGCTTTTCAAAGACAATAAGGTAAAAGAAGAAAAGAAAATTTGGGTTTACCTTAAATAGTGACTGTTCCAAGATTTTCTTCATAAACTGAGTTGTTGACTTTGTGGGAGCATTATGTACTTGAAAAAAAGTTGAGACATTGTCATACAAGATGAAGTTATTTAAAGTTAGGTCTGAGGTGTAGGTGTGTCTGTCGTTTCAGATAATAGAAATTGCATATTTGCACTACTGTGTGGATGCTGATCCAAAACACCTATAAAATTGTCAGTAATGTGTGCTGCCTTGTACCTTCCTACAGTAATCAAGAAGCTGAATTAACTTCAAACTATTAAACAGGTCCATGAGTCCATTTTATTCAATTATATTTTTATATTTAAGAAGTTATTAAGTATTTAGCTTTAGTCAGCATTTTACCCTTTTGAAAACAGAACCTACTTTGCATTGCAAGCAGTCAGATGACCAGGATGATTTACCATCTCCCCTGCCCTGTCTGTGTAATGGTCCCACTCTGCATCTGTTCACTGCCCACGTGAGAAGCAGCTTAGGGAAGGAACAGACATCACAATGCTGGGCAGTCTCATCCAAGGTCATGAAGAAAAATTTAATCTCAGAGCAGTATGAGAAATTCTTTCTAGTCTGTCTACATTACTTAGTTCTACATTGAGTTTCAGTTTTGGTGAGTTGCAGCAGAATGCAAGACCCCTTCAAATTGCATTTCAGGAAATGAATTTATAACATCTGAGTCTCCAGTGCAAATTGCCAGTTCTGCAGCAGATAGGCAGTGGTTTAACACTGCTGCACCTCAAATGGGAATGCACATGTTGATTCCTATTGAAAATAACACAGAGAAGGAAAATAATCTTCCTGTCATAACTAAGGACAAAAAGCCAAAACATTTTTTCCCCATAATGATGTCGGCTTATCACAGTTGGATTTTTGAACAGAATGCCTTACATTTTGTGGGTTTGCAAGGAATGCAGAGAGTGCACTCCTGCTGGTTATTTCCACAGCCTGCCATGCTAACAGGGAATAGTTCATTTTATAGATAATTAATGTTTAAGCTCTAGGTTACATCCACCACTGAGGAACCTGTGCGGATGGGGACAGTCCCTGAGAGACACATAAAGGAAGCTGGGGATGGACAGAGTTGCCAGGGACAGCAGGTTACAGGAGGCTATTTTGTTTGCTCAGGGAAGGGAGCATGAACAGTGTGTCAACCCATAGAGCTCAGGGAAGAAACCAGAGGAATTAGACGTACCAGCACTGTTACAGGGCTGTGACCTCTAAGGGATCACAGGGACAGTATGGCACAGCACATTTCAAGTGGGAGGATTCAAGCTTTTTTGGAAAAGCAGACAGGGAAATGAGTGGAAGTTGTGTTCTACACAAAACAGTTTCTATTTGCCTGGAGCTTTCCCCTGCTTGTTGTAATAAGCGTTGAGTCAGCTGAGAGCTGATGGGTCAAAATTGGTGATGACCCTGGCATGGGGAGCACTGTGCAGGCACCTTCTATAAATTGATAGGAAGAGGAAGCAGATAAAGCTTGAAATAACTACAAGGAGCTCACAATTGTAAGAACTGCCTGCTTTGGAATACAAAATTGCTCTGCTATCTGGAGGAGCACCCAGTAGGGTAAAAGCAGTCCAGCCAATTTTTGTGGGTCATCAAGAACATTCTTTTTTGTCCCAGATTTGTTACTCATAAACAAGAAAGGAATTAAAAATAGGCAATGTTCAGGTAAAGGGCAGCCTTGGCCTTTTAAGGTCCAGGACCTTAGAATTAAAACCCCAAGAGAAGGAAGGAAGGAAGACAAATAGTAGAATAAAGATTCTGGGCTTCAGAAGAACAGAATATGTCTTGTTTGGGAAATTGGTTTGTCAGAACCTCCCAGGAACATGTGATGGGGGCAATGGAGATCAGGAAGGTGCATTGAAATTCAAAGAGAAGAACACGCTCACAGAACAAAAGCTGGCTTGGCTGGTGAGCTGGAACTCAGGCAGGCAGAGGAACAGCTTGGCTGATCCAGCAGAGCTTCTCTGAACTCAAACACCAAAAAGGGAGGGCTGGAAAGAGGGGAACAGGTATGAGCTACTCAGGCATGAGGGAATGGAGTTGAGTACTGGAACAGTGGCCCAGAGAGGCTCTGACATCTCTGTCTGTGGAGATTTTCACAACTGAACAGGACAAGGTCCTGAGCAACCTGGTGTAACATCAGCATTGGCCTTGCTTTGAGCAGGGACTTGGCCTAGAGGCCTCCAGAGGTCCCTTGTGGCTACATGACTGTGATTTCCTGTACTTTAGTCCTTACACAAACTGCATATTTGAGGCTCCATTCTGCCACCAGACACATCAAATTAAGACATGGTAAAAATTATCAAGACTTTAAAACAAAATTGAAAAAGGATGGCTATGATTTTAGGTACTCTTCGCGTCTGGTTGTCTTTGCTGAACACTTGTAGTTCCCAAGGACTGTGAGCTTTACTGTTGAGGAGTAGACTGATGCAGAGTTGTCACAAAAGCTCACCTTGAGGAAGAGGTTATCTCTGTGCTGAGGCTCCTTGGTGGCACAATGACACTGCTTCAGCTCTGACTTCAAGATCCTTCTCACACTAAAGAAGTCCAATGGATCCCTGTGTGCTTCATGTTTGAAGTTACATTGTACAAATGTGCATGACAGGCGTATAAAAGAAACCGTGGAGGTTGCGTGTAGTTTGTTGGTTCTGCCTGCAGTGTGTTGTATATATTTGTGGGAAATGAAAACATGACCTTATTTATATAAGGTTTACTTGATGTTAGGCTGAACAGAAGCATAACAAATAGAATGAAAGTACTATAAGCAAAAAAAACCCCAAACCCTCTTGACTCAGTGTTTGGTCCAGAATGTTTTTCTGAGTTAACAGAAGGCCTTAAGACCATTCTGGGTAATGACATTTATTGAAAATAATATTGCTATCTAAAAAGTAGTACTGATAGAGCCTAGAATGCCAAACACAGGTTTTAAAACCTAACCCAAAAGCCTAACAAAGCTAGGATCTGGGAGGAGCAGAAGAGAAGGAAAATACACTAACTAGTGTCCCTATTACTAAATCTGCATTGAGCTTGTAGCCCAGAGAGAATGTTGAGCTGCAGCTTTTGGATGTGGAACAAGTTATGTTCAGATCCATACTTACATCTGACCAAAGAGGAGGCTCCA